TCGTACTAAGTTAGAATTCAGGATCCTAATCCTCCTCCTCTGTCACTCTTCAAAGTGGACCAGTTGAAGCTGTCGGGACCTCAGTTTTCTAATCTGTGAAGATCTTACACTAAGACAACCAGGGCTAGGTAAGAATCCAGGTCCTCTGCACACCATCTGGGCAGCCTTGAGAAGGTACAGATTCTCCCTGAGCAAACAAGAATCATTCCTGCCTTGTGAACAGCTGTAAAGACTTAATGACATGCTGTCTACCAGGTGCTTAGCCCACGGTTAATAGTTCGAGTTTTAAACTCGATGTCTTAAACTACATGTTGATACAGTGAGAATATTCCTTCGAGAATTCTATATTAAATTTCTCTCTAAAAAAACACAAGGCAAATAAGCACATGAAAAGATGTGTAACACACTGGTCATTAGGGAAATACTAGTCAAAACCACAGTGAGAGAATACTTCACACTTGTTAGGATGGCCTTCAAACAGAATGAAATGCTATGTGTGTTGCCACGTGGATGAATCTTGAGGACATTATGCTCGCTGATTTAAGCCAGACAAAAAAGGACAACTATTATAGGATTCTGTCTATGTGGAGCACCTGAAACACTCAGATTCATCAAGGCAGAAAGGAAAAACGCAGTAATTAATGTCGTCCATTTTCTGCTCCTATAACCAAAAAACAGAGATTGAGTCATTCATAAGAATAAGGAGGCTGGGCAGTCCGAGGTCCAGCGGCTCTTGTTGGCAGGAACTTCCCAGAGTCTTAAGCAGCAAGAGGAGTCCAGACAAGGGGCAGAACTGAGCTGACTCTGACAAGACTTGCTCCAAGATGACCACTAACCCATTATTCCACCGACACACGAGTGGACCCTCCCTGAAGACCTCTCCAGGGAATTAATTTCAATGCGAGTCTTGGGGGTACATTAAAACCATAGCACTGAAGGTGTGGGAGAGCAGAGGAGGAGTTTAACGACCACCGAGTCTCAGGAAGATGAAGAAGACCTGGAGGTAAGCGGTGAGAGGCTGCGTGACCATGTGGACATGACAGGAGCCCACTGTTTGTACACTTTAATGGTGAGTTGTGTTTACTTCGCATGGCGAATTTCACTGAGTGGTGTACTTTAAACGGTAATATTTCACCACAGTAATTTTGTTAATACAGAGCATTTGCTGCAACCTAGACTTAGGTTTCCCTGGCATGTTCCTTGCTGGGGAGGGAGGCCCAGAGCTCCAAATGCCCCTGGGCTGAAGCTAACAGCTGAAGCTACTGGCCCCCTAACCCCAGCCTCTCCAGAGCCAAAGCAGGAGCCAGAATGTGCGCTTCATGCAGCCCGGCGGGGCCTCCCACGGAAATCAACAGAAATCAGGATTTATTTGAAGATTTTAGCGCTTCGTTTAGCCCCACCCAGTGGTGACCTTCCCCACAGAGCCAGGAGAAAAGCTGTTTCTCTGAGCGCCCGTCAGACCCCAAATGACCTTCTGCATTTTTCGATTCATTTTAAAGGGGGCCGTGCCGGTCAGCGTTGTTCCATCTTCTCAGCAAACATCAGTTCCCATTTTTACCCACAATTCTGGGCCAACTTCAGATTGGTTCACTTGGCTAGCAAGACTAAAATCTGTGCATGCTGGCCGAGTCCTTCTGATCAGGGCAGTAGAGAAGGAAGTGAGGGCCTACTCGAACGTGGCTGGAGATTTCAGGAGAGTGTGGTCGGATGTGAACTCACGCTCACCTGGGCCACCTCCAAGTAGGAGGAAGGTAGTGCAACTCCCAGGCTGAGGACAGAGGTTCTCAGTTCCTCAGGTTAGGATCTGTCTTCCGGGAAGGAGTCTTGTGCAGCATTTGCCATGTGTTTGATTGCAAGGAGCACCAAGCCCAAGTCACCCTGGCTTCCACAGGAAGGAAAGTGTTCCTTTTCTCATGCAACAAGGTAAGCGGTAAGGTGGCTATGGAACTGGTAAAGCAAAAGAAGCTCCATGGCACAGACAAGGCCCCGTGCTCTGCCCATCTGTCACCAGGCAGCTTCTTTCCTGGTCACCAGGCAGCTTCTGCAGGTTTGGATGCCACCGTGCAGGTCACGTGTTAGGAGGGAACAGAATCCACCACCACTCACCAGCCAGCTCGCTTCTTTCTCACCTGCCCATATGGCAGCCCACAGTGGGGCCTTCACATTTGTTCTGTAAAGGACCAGGATGGGGCTACATATTCGCTCACAAAAATCACTCACCTCTGCTATTGAAACGGGAAAGCATTTGAAAAGTAATGTGCTATGAAACAAGCCTGCAATCCAGTAAATTTTATCTAGATAAACAAGTGCTGGCTCCATCCAGCCCACGGACTCAACCTGGCCCCACACCAGCTTTCCCCAAGCACACGGAAAGAGATCACAGGAAGTCTGTTATTAATTGCAATAATAATGTCAGGGGCCTCTTCCATCTGTCGGCATCTAACAAAGACATTCAAGAGGTTCTAATTCATAATGCTGGGCACAAGCTTCCCAGATAGGCAGGAGAGGTCTGAGCACAGCAACGCCGGGCACCAAAACAAGTGAGAGCAAATTTCCAGAGAATTTCCTATTCCCTAATGTGCAGCAAATAGGTGCTAAGACTCAGAACTTGGTTACATCAGGTTCAACTCACTTTGCAAATTAAACACTCTAGAAAACATTTAATGACACTGAGGGACCACAATAATGCCTCTGAATATGTAAGATCTGTTTCTCATGCTTTAGAAACTGTTCTCATAGCTCCAGTGTAGGGGAGACCCTACACTGAGACTCAGACTTGAAAACCTTAGTGGTCAGTGCAGACTTCAAATTTGGTACGTGAGGGAATGGAGGCTCAGAGAAGACAAGCGACTTCCCCTAGATCACAGACACTTAGCAGCAGGATGGAAACCCAGCCCAGCTGCCGCGCATAGGAGGAGCCAGAGGATACCCAGCACCTCTGAGGAGGAGGGGTGCACAGCCCCCCGCAGGAAGGAGTGTGGCCCTCACGCCTGGGTCTCCCTGCGGAGGAGCCTAAGGCGCACTGTGAAGTCAGAAGTGGTCCTGTGACCGGTTTTGCCGCTGAGATGTGGGTGAAAGTGGCACATGTCGTTCCCAGTTGCCATGTCTGTGTGCCTTCTGCCACAGAATGTGACATGCCAGACTGAGTCCTCTGTACTCTTTCTGACTCACAAGATCACAGGAACAGCACAGCCATGGCTGACCTGTGATAGGAGCGAGACAAGCCAGTGGGCCTGGGGTCACTTGTTACTGCAATAGGTCCGAGTCTGTCCTGACCTACGCAGGCTCTGCCACCTGAATCACCAACCTCTTGTTCACCTGTGGATCTCAGGTTTCCAGCAACACTGCACAGAATGTGAAAAGCACAGTTTTACAGTCAGCCTGCCTGGGGTCAAGTCTCACAAGTGGGGAGAGCTTGATGAAGTTATTTTCTGTTTCTCCACCAGCGATCAAAAGATAACTCTGGTGGGGCTGGGGATTTGGCTCAGCGGCATAAGCGCCTGCCTTGAAAGCAGGCAGTAGGGAGCAACAAGAAAGGCTCCTCAGTCCCCAATCCTGAGAACACTGATCCAGGAAAGGTAAAAGCAAAAGACAATGAAGACAGAAAACATGCAATATCAGACGCGGCACCTATAGACATAAAGTGGTATCTCCAGAGCCTCATAGACGAGTTCAAAAATGAAGTATTTAATGAAGTAAAGCAAGAAATAAATAGAATAGTTAGAAAAATGCTAAGCACCGCCCAAGAAAAAACAGATGGTGGAATGGAAGAACAGAAAAAAAGGGGAGAATTGTTTGATGGAGAAAATAGAGAAAACATAGAATACATGAAGCAGGTTCACAGAGATTACCAAGAAACTAAAAACTCTATTGAAAGCTGGCATAACAGCTTGAAAGAAACTAAGGATAGATTATCAGAACTGGAGGACAGATTTGTAAGGTGGGAGCATGAAATGAAAAACTTCTTAAAAATAACAAGAAAACAAACAGCAATAATACAAAGACTAGAAGATGACAAGAGGATCTATAACTTAAGAATTAAGAACATAAAAGAAGAAGTAGGGACTCAAACAAATGAACTACAAAGCTACTCACAGAAATAATCCAGGAGAATTTCCCTAATTTAGCAAAAGGTAAAGATACTCAGATGTGTGAGGCATACAGGACCCCAGCCACCTACAACCCAAACAGAGCTACACCCAGGCATATAATAATCAAAATTCCAGAAATCCAATATAAGAACAGAATATTAAAAGCCGTCAGAGACAAGAAACAGATCACTTACAAGGGAACACCCATCAGAATTACAGCAGACTTCTCGGCACAAACCGTCAAATCACGAAGAGTGTGGGGGGAAATAATTCAAGCCCGAAAGGGAGGAGAGGGGCTCCACGTGGGGCCAGTGAGCTGCCCGCCCGCAGCCTGGCCAGAGAGAAGCCACAGAACCCTAACTGGTGGTAAAGCCCAGGACCCAGCCCTTAGACATGCTGGCTGTTACTGGGGACTCACCAGGGCTACCACTCACTGCCCACAAACTCCCAGCATGCCGGACCCCGACTTCCTGCCTTTGCTGGGGTAGGCAGAGTCTGTGACTAAGAATCAGGGGGCCTGGGGCAGAGGGCACTGAGAAGAAACTCGGTCCCCCACCCCCCCACACACACATGGGGCTGGAAGCAAGCACAGGAAACCTCCCAGGCATCACAGAGCCCGGGTCTCGAGCAATGGGAACAGGACAGAACTGTGGATGCCCCAGGCCGGCTGTGCAAATACTGCCCAGGAGCCCCGCAGACTGTGTGTTCTGCTTTGTTTTTCCCACAGTCACTGTGAGTTGGCAGTGTCACTGCTGAGTTACTGGGAATATGCCTTTCTGCAGGTTCCTGGAGGTTGCAAAGACTTAGCTGGTGAAGGACTGTGTTGTTTTATTAATGCTTCAAGGAAGAAGGCACCGAGCATCTAGGAGAAGCAGCAGTGCAGAAACAAGAATATCTCCAGTCAAATAATTGCAAGGCAGCATTTCAGGACAGTTTAATTTCCTATTGCACTTTAATGACCAATAAATAAGATATAAAAATGTTATTTATAGAAAAACTCCAGCACTTTGTTTTCCTGGTTATTTAATATATCGGTGGAAACATACGGTATGATTTTTAAAAAATTTTTTTCAAACACTATAATCAGTCTTTCATGCCGCAGATCTGTGTAGTCAGTCACTGCTTGTCACAGAAGTGAATGGAAGTTAACAGAAAGCAGGCTCGCTATTTCTCCTGGCATCAAGGCCACCAAGGCCAGAGCCCCTGGCTAACTCCCTCCTCTGCTTTGTCCTCTGCTTTGACTGCTCTGAGAGAGAAGGCTGCATTTCCCTGTCAGGGCTGAGGTGCTGCTGGAGGGGACATGGGAGGCTCTTGGGCTTCTAGGAGGCTTCTAGGCGGGGTTTAAACGTCCTGGCTTCATCTGCATCTGCTCCACCCTTCCCAGAGCCCCCTGAAGCCTGAAAGGGAGGAGAGGGGCCTGCTCCTTCTCCCCTCCCCCTCCTGCCTGCCCTTTTCCCTCTCTGCTTCCTCCTTCCCCTCCTCTTCCTCCTCTTACTCCCCTTCTCCTCCTCCTCCTCCTCCTCTTCTTCCTCTTTCTCTGCTCAGTAGGCTGCAGGGACCTTTACAGTCCAGCTTCTGCTGCTAGTAGCATTGCAAAGGCAGAATCAGGGTTCTCCGCGAGGACTTCAGGTTTGTCAAACTCAATCACCTGAAAGTCAGGAAGAATAGAAATTGTAGAATGGCCCAGGCACTGAGCAGCCTGAGTCCCGCCCCGACATACCTTCCCACTATCCAGGACCAGCACTAGGTCGCAGTTGAGCACTGTGTTCAGCCGGTGGGCGATGGCCAGCACCGTGCAGCCGCGGAAGGCATCCTTGAGGGCGCTCTGGACAAGGGCATCCGTCTTGGAGTCCATGGAGGCCGTGGCTTCATCCAGCAGAATGATCTGCAGAGGGGAACGTGGTGAAAACTACACTAAGCCACAGCGACAGCCAGGGAGAATTTACAGTCTGGGCTCTGTTTCTTCAGTAGGAAAAAAGCTGAAAGGGAAAGCAATGAGCCATGCCACCTCTTTGGATGCTAGGATACAGGAGGAGGAAAGAAAAGGCAAATCACGCCACCCCCAGCCTCCTCGGAGGGCCTGCTGGCAAAGCAGGTTGGAGCGCTCTTTGCTCTTCCTTCTCAAGTGATTTCTTGTAACTATGCAAACAAGTGGGAAGGAAGGTGCCATGGACTTGCAGGGCCAGGAGGAGCCAGGTGTGGCATAAAATCAGCACTCGGTTCATGTGCTACTGCAGAGGTCACAAACCACCATGAACTTACAGATGTGTCACCCTACGAGCTAGAAGCCCGGCACCCTAACCTCAGGGTGAGGGGCTGCACCACTGCCTGCAGTCCCCACGCCTTCCCAGCATCAGGTCCCCATCACTCTGTCCCTCCTGCTGGCTTCTTACACGGACCACCAGCCCACATGGACCCCTGTATAACCCGCCACGCCTCAAGATTCTTAGTGTCATCACCTCTGCGTAGGTCCTCTCGCCATGCAGAGAAACAGATCCAGACAAACCAGGAGGGCAGCATCATCCCGCCCACCACAGCGCTGAGTTGTAGAGAGTTGAAACTCAGCCCTGGACACTGCTTGACTTTGGCCAAGGTTTCTGACTTCCCCAAGGCTGTGTTCCCTCCTGTGTGAAAGGCAGTGGTGCCTTGGGTTACGCCTAGGATAGGCGCGATGCAGAGACTCACAGCCATGCAGCAGTGCACAAGGCCACAGCAGGCACTGATAGTGTACCCGGCTCTCCACCCCCACCCCCACCCTCACACGGACACAGGAGGTCACAACTTGGACAGGGACTCAGAAAGACAGGATTGCTAAAACAACAGCATGCTCTTCCTCTAGCCCAGCTGCAAGGCACTCTCAGCTGGCCAGGTCCTCCTGAGAGGCCACAGAGGCCTTCTGTGGTGTGCCAGAAGCTGTTTCCAAGGGCTCAGGGTTGTCCAGGAACAAAGGGACAAAGTGCAGAGGCAGAGTTCTCAGACTCAGTCCAGAGGAGAGGGGAGAGAATACCCAAGGAAGACCGCCCAGGGAGGAAGGTGTTGTGCAGTCAATGGCTGCTATTTTTCAATTTCTACCCCTAGCAACTTTGTCTGGAGAAAAAGAGATCGGGTTTCAAATGACTCAATTGCTCTATCTTTGCTGAAAGACAAATGCCTCCTGGGTTGAGCCCTCTGTGGGGGATATCCAAAATTTGACTGATCCATTTTCCGTGCTGTTTCCTTACTTTTGAATTACGGAGCAGTGCTCGGGCCATACAAAGCAGCTGACGTTCTCCTACTGAGAAGTTTTCCCCATTTTCTGTGACTTCTGCCTGTAATTTTTCCGGGAGTTTCATTATCTATAAAACACAGAAAATGCCACATTTATGCTGATGATCTATAAAATTGTCCTGTGTCGTATGTATTGATTGCCCCCTTCTCTCACGTTCATCAACTTGCTTTATTTTACTGTGGAAAAGAAAGTGCAGAAAAACAATCATTTCAATATTGCAAACTGGCACCAAGAAAGAGCAGTGAGTGGGCAGACATTAATAATTTAAAATCACAGTGTGACTCATAGAACCCCTGGACAGCTCACCAAAAGAGTACCAACGATGCCAGCACTGCTCCAGGGAACACAAACAAGTGGAAATGGCTTGCAGGGTTCCTATTTCCGTGAACAAAATAGAGGCAAGCTGGGAGAGTTTTCTGGGAGGGTAAAGCAAATCGAGGTGGCTTTGGGAGGCACAGACCGTGGCACTAGGGGCTGCAGAGATGGCCCTGCACATCTGTTGTCTCCAGCTGAGGCTACAGGTCTTACAGGACAGGACCCAATGTTACAGATGGCCCAGTCCCCTCAAACCAGCCACATCTGCCACTTCCAGAGAACACATGGCCTTTTGTCCTTCTGTGGATCATCCGTCCTGATAAGCACCGGCCACCCCCAGAGCAGAAGGGGGTTTTCCTGGGGCTCTAGAATCAGAGACATCTGGACTTAGTTTCCACTCTGCTGGCCTGAACACATTACAGTCCTTGAACTTTAATTTCTGTATCTCCAATATGAAGGGGTATGAGCACCAACCTCCAAGTTGTCAGAGGACCCCAAGAGATAATGCACAGAGAGCTCTTGACTGGGCTGTGCAGAGTCCAGATAAACAGGACCTATGACTGCTTTTTATAATGAGTAAAGTAAGTACTGTGTGCTATGGGTGTGTATGCACGCAGTATCCATAAATAAGCCTGGCCATGTGCAGAGCCAGGTGTCTGCTGGGAAAACGACACACTCTGAACAGCCCCAGAGACCTACTGTGTCTCTCATGAATGTCCTTTCCAGAACCTGCCAGAGCGTTTCGTCAGTGTGACTCCCAAAGGGATCCAAGTTGTACCTGCAGTGAAGCAAAGGAGAGGGAGCTGGACTTCTGGGATGAGGCTGGGGAGGGGCCCTAAGCCAGGGACTGCAAGGGCTCCCAGAAACCAGCAGAGGCAGGGCTCCAGTTTTCCCCTGCAGCCCACAGAGGAGAAGAGAGACATGTGAGGAGCGCATGCTCAGCCCAGGCCGAGAGACCAAGGCTGCAAATCCAAGGATGGAGCAGACACCCCCAAAGCAAGCAGGGAAAAGTGAGACCTCGTGCAGAGGTGGCACCAAGGCAGGCGCTCAGGAAGACATCAAGGCCTATCCAGGGCCACTTGCTGGACCAACTGAGAAGCTGTGGGTCCCTGTGCTTTGACATCAGATCTTACATCCATAAAACTGCCTGTTTGGTCCTCAGGGGCAAGGAAATCCACTTCCCATGATGACTGCAGATGTAGGGGAACCACTTGTTCTACTGTGCCCACACCAGGGCATAACACAGAGCTCTACAGGATCTATCAGGAGGTCTGTAGCTCTGTGTGTAAAAGCATATTGCTTATTAACAGTGTAATTTCTAAGACACCAGTAAGGCTCCAGGCCCCCCTGCCTTGTTCCTTCCAAGGCTTCACCCAAACACAGACATCAGCTGCACTTTGGAGCCCCAAGGGACCCTGCTTCCCAGACAGGACAGCCCGGCTGAGCCACATCTCAGACCCTGGGCCCTACAGGATTTCACTGTCCAAAGGTAAGAATGCATGATGATCAAAAACAGCTACCTTACTGTACCTACAAACAGGACAGGATCCTGCGGGATCACGGTGAGCTTGGTGCGGAGGTCTTCCAAACTGATGGTGCAAATATCCACCTCGTCGATGAAGATCGTGCCGCTGGCCGGCTCCGCCAGGCGGAACAAGGCCATTCCTAGCGATGACTTCCCTGAGAACAGTAAAGCAGGAACAACAAATCAAACAGCGGTTGCTGTTGCCGTCATAGCCAAGCATTTCATTAAGGGAACCTTTAAGGCAAGGAAATGGCTCTGTGTGGCTGTCTGTGCTAGCAAACTCCTCTCTTGGGGGCTGGGGCTGCCCTGCCACATTTAACCTGCCTGTCCCTGCAGGGGCTTTTAGTACACAGCTCTGGGCCTCCTCTCACAGGAGAGTTCTCAATAATTAATTCAAAAGCTGATGTGTATCTGCTTCCAAGTCTACAAACCCATTCAACCTGAAGTCCTAATTTACAGTAAAGAGACCTGAGGAAAAGTAACAGTCAATCCAACGCACACACGTATCACTCTCTAGTGTGGCGTAACCGGCACATCCTGAGGAAACTCAAAGCAAACAACCCACGAGAAAGCAAAGCAGAGCTGTCCTCACCGGAACCCGTCCTGCCGACAATGCCAACAGTCTGCCCGCTCTCTATGTGCAAGTTCAGCCCGTCGAGCACAAGCGGGGTGTTGTCTCTATATCTCATGTGATAGTCTTTGAAGGTTATCTCCCCGCGGCTGGGCCAGTCCTGGGGACAGGGCTCCACCTTGAGGGGCTGAGTGCTTTCAGAAACACAGGCCTGGGAAGCACAGAAACCAATCACAGGTTAACTGTCCAACTCACGCATCCATACCGATCTAGGCAACAGAGTTCAGGATGGAGAGCCAAATCGGTTACAGCCCTCAGCCAAGAAAGTCGCTTTCCAGTGGGGCTATCAGAACATAAACAAGAAAAAATTAGAAATTCAGGTGATAAACAGCTCTGTGACAGAGCACAGATGGAGGTGTGTGGTGAGTAGGCCTGGGGTGTGAGCCACAGCTGAAGGGCTGAAGAAGGGTGTGAGCAGCAGCCCTGGACTGGGACCTGCAGTGCTGGGAAGATGGCAGCTGCGGGAAGACCGGAACCCAGTGCCTTCCCCACACCGCACACATGGGGGCAAAGTCAGGGCCCCGGAGGCCTGGTGAAGGAAGGGTGGGTGGCGTTGGAGAATGAGCAAGGGGCAGCGTGCACTGGGCCTAGGAGGCCCAGGCAGGAGTCAGCAGTGTGATCTCACAACTGCTTGACAAACCAGACTGAGCCTCTGGATTTGCAGAATTCAATCAGATGTAAGTTTAACATCTATCAGAGTCACCATGGTACGAGGAGTAGGAAGATCACGAGAAAGGGCAGAAGTCCTTGGTGCTAAATGGAAAAGTCCTTCAAGTTTCCTTCCTAAGAGTCCAATAAGCTCCAAGGCTAATTAAGCAGTGGAGTAGCATCTTGGCTTCATTACAAAGCCAGCCACTCCCTTCTGCTATGACGTCCTTATTAACCAGGGGAAACAAGGACCGCAGAAGCCCCAACCCCTGGTCAATCAGCAACCTCAATTCAGCTGGAAAAATAAGTCTGTTCTCAGGATTTTTACCTCCTGGAAGATTTACAATTAAAAACAAAAAGTTTAAGAGAACCAAAACTGTAACAGCAATGTTTTTAGTTTAAGATCTATACACTTTGTGTTTCCAATATAACATTGACAGGACTTGGGCTTGTGGTTCTACTTTACAATATATAATTGAATAACTGAGTTAAGCTGATTGTAAGTTAAAAGCTTATGCTTAACACTGTATATAGCATTGGGACGACCATGAGAACCTAAAGCACACTGTATTTACAAGTTAAATTTATTACATTTATATATAAACTCAAGAAGGTTGGTTTGCTAAATCAGATTATCAAGGTCCTTAAAAAGAGTATTGAATGGATTAAATATTAAAATGCAGTTTAAAATGTTTTAAATTATCTAATTACATTTGTAAGTGGACCAGACACTGTTCAAAGACCCTTAAATGTATCTGCTAGTATTGGTTAGACTTCTTTCCAAGATGAACAGAAAAGCTTTCAAATCAGAATTTTAAAATTTTTTTCAGTGTACAGCTTGAGTTAAGTATTAAATTAAATTTCAGCAACCCAACCAAACCCCCATATTGTCTTTTATGCATATAGAAACTGCTTGTCTATATGGAATTTTTTTAAAGGGAAAAAAAGAACTTTATACTCAGCATCAAGGACTTTAGATGGCATTAAAACATGAGACAGACTTGGGGTTTTTTAAAGACCCCCTCTACATGGGGAAAGGTCAGATACTTGGCCAAGCCTTGCAAGTGTAAGCATGTCCTCCTCTTTCATGATCTCTTGCTTACCGAAATATATTCCCTTAGCATCTCCACTGAGGTGAGCTTGGCCTGGGTCTCCGCCCCTGTTCGCACGCACACTTGGAGCAGTCCGCTGAGCTGCGGGCAAGAACAAGCAGCCCTGGTTAGAGCCCTTTCTGCTCTGTTAAGCTGGTCCACCTGTGGGGAGTGCGGCAGGCCTTGTGAACTGTGTTTCTCACCTAACTGGGGCCCACACGCACAGGAAGCCCGCATTCCCAGCCAGGCACCACAAGTAAGATACTCCTGTTGTGGTGTTTTGCCTTTAAACACTTCCTTTGTGTTTAGAAACAAATGGTAATTAGTCTCCCTGCAATCCAGATGGCAAGTACCACCTCACCATTGCCACCACCCCCTTGATCCTCGCCTGCCTCCGCCTGGATGGTGGGGATGGCTGTCTGAATGGGAATTCTCCCACAGCAGAACTTCCAGGTGTCACCTACTTGCTGTTCCTGGCAGGGACCCTGGCACCTCCCCACTCTACCCCACATCCAGCCAAGAAGTAACTGAAAACTCTACCACAAGAGACTACAAAACCAGCAAGCCCATCTGCTTGCTTTAGCAATAGAAAACCAAGGTTCAGACTGGGGGAGATGTCTGACTTCGGGGACCCACTTCAGACCAGAACTATCCTACTCGGTACACCAGCCAACCACAAGACTTGAGAGCAAACAGTATTTCAAGGCAGGTTGAGCGACACACTCTCCCCTATCTGCGAAGGTCCTGGAATTTGAGAAGAGCACCTCATTGGACAAAAGATCTTTGAAGGTTTAGTTAAGAATCTTGGGATCATTTTAGATCCCTGTATGGCCCTACATTCAGTGACAGCTCCCCATTAAAGACAGAGGAGATGGTACAGAGCAGAGAAGAGGGTATAGATACTGGAGGGATGCAGCGTCAAGCCAAGGAACTCCAAACAGCCCTGGAAGCTTGGAGGGGCCAAGAACAGTCTTCCCAGAGCTCAGAGGAGACACAGCCCTGTAGGCGCCTTGTGCACAAGCTTCTATAAGAGAACAAATCTCTCATTTCAAGGCACCACCCTTGTGGTTGTTGGTTACAATGGCAAACTAATATAGATGGTGAATCCATAAAGTAGTGAGCAGATGGGAGAAACAGGGAGAAAAGAGAAGGCCACCAAGTGAGGGTGTGTTCATGAGGGCTTAGCATCTCAGACAACTGCCATTCAGTCCTGCGGGGAGCCCAGGAGACTGGGGAGTCACCCTCAGAGCCATCCTACACCAGGCAAGAAAGCTGGGGTGTATCAGCAAAGGCCCATCAGTGTTCTTAGGGGACTGGCTTCAGGACACCACCACCACCACCACCATCCCTGCAGACACCAAAGTCCACAGACATAGCTCAAGATGCTGACATGAAACAGTGTGGGATTTGAACAGAAGCTATGTACCTGCTCCTGTGTGATTTAAGTCATCTCTGGACTACAGCTAATATCTAATGCAATGTAAATCCTATGTACACAGCCATTATACATCTGTAGGGAACAATGACAGAAGAGTCTGGATACATTCAGTGCAGACACAGTTTATTGCTCTAATACGGGAGTCTGCAGTTGGTTAAAGCTTCGGCCACAGAACTGATAAATACAGAGAGGTGACTCCATTCCCTTCAGGTATCCCCAGAACTGCTCCTGGGTAGGACGCCTCCTTCTCACCCCTCCAGCCACCTTTGCGAGGGCCCAGTGTCCCCTCCCTGGACAGGTGGACCAACAGCAGCTGCCTCAGGGGGCCAGAGGTCGGAGCAATCTTCTGAGGACAAACAGCATCATCCAGGAGCAGGTGATGGCACTGGCCAGGTGCAGGGCTTCTGAGGTTGATTGTGATAAACCAACCTGTTCTCATGGTGGCTACATTCTAATGGACCACAGGATGATATGCAAAGTGACCTCAGAGGCGGGAGAAGGTGGACACACCAGGGTGACGCGGGGCAGCGGCTGAGGCAAAGGGGGGAGATGGAGCACAGGCCTCTGTGATAAGTTCACAGGCAACCTGAGGTGAGAAAGCACAAGGGTAGAGGCAAGTGGCTTTCACCCCAAGAGTGTGGGGCCCAGCAGGTGAACATGGAGGCAACGGAGAGCTCCAGGCCTCAGAGGGCACCCTCACCTCCCCAGATCTGAACACAGATCTGGGCTCCCCATTTCTCTTCAAGCAAGGGCTCTCAACCTGGGTGAGAGCCCTCCACAGACATTGGCAATGGCTGGAGATGTTACAACCTGTCAGGAAGGGAGTTAATCCTGGCATCTCATGGGAACAGGTCAGGGAGGCTGCCAAGCATCCTACTGTAGACAGAGTAGCTGTTATGGCTCAGATCTAAAGTGTGTTCCCAAAGCCTCAGAAGCAGGGTTTGGGAAGACAGTTGCTTCATGGGACATTGTACTTATCACTGGCTTAATCACGGTGAGGAGGTGGAGCCCAGCTGGAGGTGGGCCCCTGGGGTATGGCCTGGGAGGACCTGCTCTTTCTTCCATCATGCCCTCCCAACATGCCATTTCTGCCTTGGGGCCAGATGACCATGGACTAAACTCTCTGAAACCGTGAGCCAAATAAACCTTACCTTCACGTTTTGGATGCTAGGCATTTCATCCAGCAATGAGAAAGTGACTCCTACAACAGACCCTCACCAAAAGGGTCATCCAGCCCAAATGTATCCCCTGCCGTCAGCTTCCACATACATTATTTTCTGCAACTGTGTTCAGAGTGCAGAGCCTCTCAGCCCCTCAGACACACCAGGCTCAAGCCTATCTCCAGGCTTCCCCAGTCCCTCTGCCCGAAGTGCCCTGCTCCAGTTCCTTCACTGTTCAGGAGGGCCCCTCTGATTATGAGTGCAACGTGGCCTTCCCTTCTTCAGCCCCGGTACCACCTCATGCCACCGAAGCACTGTCACAGGCCTCCTCGCTTATTTACTTGTCATCTTACACATTCCAGTTGCCTACTAGAATGTAAGCTCCAAGAACGCAGGGTGAGTCCAAATTGTTGACTTCCAAGTCCTCAATGACAGCTTCTTTCTGACTCACTCACAGGCTCAGGGGTCAGCTAAGGCTGAGCCCTGTCCCTGAGAAGGACGTAGATGTACTTTGTTTAAGACAAGACTATCAGAGCCATATGCGGTGGCTCACACCTGAAATCCCAGCATCTGGGAAGCTGAGGCAGGAAGATCAGTGTGAGTTCAAGGCCAGCCTGGGCTACATAGAAAGCTCAAGGCCATCCTAAACTACATGGTGAGACCCTGTCTAAAACATACAAACAATAACAACAGCAACAAAACAAAGGCTATCAGCTCCTCAGGTCTGGCAGCCTATGAGGGTTATATTCGCACACGGCCACAGCGCCAGCCCCCGTGGGTGCTCAATCTCCTCCTCTGTTATGTGCTCACCTCAGTTTGCTCTCTGCTCTGGCTTCACAGCAATTTCTCTTCTGTCTAGGACACCTCCTCTATTCCCATGGGAAGCTCTGTCACTTCGATTCTGTGTTCTCCAAAGGGGACTAATACTAGTAAAGCCATCAAGGCAGCTGGAGAGGAAGTGCTCATACAGACCGAAGTGTGTACCGATTCTTCTCAGACCCCGTGGGAATGTTTGGGAACGATCTCATAGAGAACTGATGACAGTGCCCCTAAGCATGACCTTCGTTGGTGCAAGCTGTTTAACTTGGACCAATTAAGAGAAACCATTTAACATCATCTGTTTGATATTTCACTAGGCAACAACAAATGAAAACACTCATTAGTGAGGGAAATGGGCTACTGGAGGAAAATTCATTTTCCCATACTCAGACAGAGGACTGAGAATGTTTTATTACCAACCCCCATTCCAGTAGTGTCGTATCAGAAAATTACCCCATAAGCATAGAGCTTAAACAGGAGGGGGCTGGGAAGAGGTGTCACCTTCCACAGAGGAGAAGGGGATGAGCACCTTTTGAGAAGACAAAAACAGAAAAAGCCTCCATCTAGCAGAGCCCAGAGAGGCCCAGGGATGAGCAGGAGACTGTGAAGGCCTGGCCCTTTGAGGGTCTGTCTATCGGCAGCTACTCTTGCTGGACGCATTTTTTTCTCCTCCTTCTCCTTTGTCCTAATCAGAAGTAGCTGACACTTTGCTCCAGGGCTCATGGTGCACACACGGGTACACGTACTTTCTCTAACTACCTGGGGAGCCGTGCAGCTCATTTAAACCTCGCCTTCGGTACCTAACAGTGAGCTCCTTGGCTGCTTTCCCGGGGAAGCCTGCCTTTGGAGAAGCCCCACACCCAGCCCGCAGCAGGCTGGAGACTTCCTATCACAGAGACCACGCACAGAGAAGCTAGAGTAACCTGGAAACGCATCTCCATCCTGAAAGGCAAATGGGGCAGGAGACAGGTGAACGAAGCTGGAAGCATGAAAGTGCAGGAGCTAGATAATCAAAAAGCAAAACCGACCTGGCGAAAACAGACCCAAGCCAAAGAGGACAGGAGAGGTTAACGGGGGAAAGCTCTGATTAATGCCCTAAGAGAAATTCAAAAGTATTCCATTCATTTGAAAAATGATCCTTTTCAAAACTGAAGGAATGAGAGCCTTTGGAAATTAACTATATGAATACGTGGTTGTCAACTTTAAAACCAAAAAGAATAACTGATAGAGCTATGGAAAATTCCCAGAATAAAGATGAAGACAAGGAAACAGAAACTTTGCAATAACACAAAAGGGACAGAAGGCTGGTGTGAGAAATACAGTGTGCAGCACGGAGTCACGGCAGGGAAACAGAAAGGGAGGAAACTGTCAAAAACAAAGCTAAAGAGAAACCTGACTGTAAAAGAACCCACAACACCAAGCAGAGTATGTGTTTTTAAAGATCCACATTCAGATCCGCTGTCCTGTAACCGCAAAGCACTGAGGGCAAGGGCTGCATGGGGGTGGCTTCCAAAGACAGCAAGGTGAAGCCCACATCAAGGAACAAAATTCAAACATCAGGCCTAGGTGCCCAAGTTCAAATCCTGGCTCAGTTTCAGAGGATCCCTGTCCTGGAGTCAACCCCTCCCTGCAGGGGCCTGTGAAACCCTCACCAGTCCCCCTGATCTGTAGACCTGGAGTAGTGGGACGGGGAGGAGGTCAGCTTTGGGGACAGTCGGTGCTGCTACAGAACCAGGGTGTATGAGAGGGGGTGTATGAAGGGAGGGCACAAGACATGCATGGGCCCACAGGCTCATTTTCCTCACATGCAACACAGGGCTTGGACCAGTATGGTAGCACCACAGGGCAGAGAGGCAGAAAAGGAATTAATTTAGGTACAGGACAGACTCTAAAGCATAATTAATGACTTGTGTTCAGCTATCGATTATTAGTATGCAAAAGAAACAAACCCAAAAAAGATCCCTTCACATGCCCAGTCATTCCAATCTCGTCCAATCCCTGATGGGTGCTAGGATTCCCAAATTAATACACCACAAGCAAAGCATAGGCTTCCATTTGGTATTAAAGCAGGAAATGTTCTCCTCCTGCTGTAGACCCCAGAGGCTGCAAAGCCAAGAGCCTCTGACCCCGACGTCCATGCAGCTGCCCAGCTTTTCGGGGATGTGAACATCTAAGATCTCTATGGTTTACACCCTCTGTCCCATTACATCCATCCACAATCACCCTCCCGGCACATGGCAGGGCCTCCAGGCCGGGCCCAACCTGTCCTGTGAGTTACCTGGATGATGTAAGACAGTGACAAGCCTTTGGATGAAGCGCTGATTGAGAAGAAACTCAGGGTCACCAACAAGGACACAATGAAGGTGACAATGTTCATCAGGACATCCATTCTCAGAGCAAACCACCGGAGAGCACAGTTGAAGTACAGAAGGTGGCTGGAGTTTTCATCATTCAGCATCTTAAACCTAAAATTAAAAAAATCGGATGAGAGGTCAGTCTGCGCTTCCAGCCAGACTGTGCCTGGGTCAGGGCCACTGCAGAGGTGGAACAAGGGACTGGTAATCGAGGGGACGCATTCTTACATAGGGAGCCCCACCAAAATGAGCATCAATCCAGCTCCAGCTACCATCACCAGATCTTTGATTTGCACATATTCTGAGAATTCTCACATGGCAGTCGAGAACAGTGCTATGTGGGCTCTTTCTGTCTTTCCTAGAGCTGATAACTGGAGCTCACAGCTGAGAGAAAAATTTGCTGAGAGCCTCAGCCCAGTTTCAGAGCATCCCTGTCCTGGAGTCAACCCCTCCCCGCAGGGGCCTGTGAAACCCTCACAGGCCCCCCTGACCTGTAGACCTGGAGGAGTGGGACGGGGAGGAGATCAGCTTTGGGGACAGTCGGTGCTACTATACAACCAGGGTGAATGAGAGGGAGTGTATGAAGGGAAGGCACATGAGACAGGTCCAAGGCACGGACATCTTGCTGGTCTGTGGTGTGTCTACTGAGACAAGGGCTTGCAGAAGGGAGAAAGATCCAGCAGGGCAGAATGCAGGCCATGGGGCAAGACCTGCCCCAGAGTCCCTTGTCCTCCTGATGTAAGTGAGGTGCACTGCCAGCTCTTCCAGCTGAGCACATGGAAGGGAGGTAGCGTTCATGAGGCAAAGAGGCTTCCACTACAGAGGAAGACAGTGGACAGCTTCTGGGTGGACCCCCGGAAGGCCCAGCAGACCCGCCTGCTGTAGCAGCGCCTATCACATGCAGGATTAGCAACAGGGCAGGGAAGATGTCCAAGAAGCAGGCAGGCACTGGAGCATGTATCCCTCCTCCTCCCTCCCCTCCTCCCCTGCATGGCCATCACAGAACTGGCTCAGAGAAAAGGGAGAGCATGTTTACCAGGAAACACGGTGGCTCCCCAACTGCCAACCTGCCTTCCACTAGCATCACACGCATATGCACGCACAGAGCTGCCATTCCAAGCTTCTTGGAGGAAAAGATGGCTGTGACCTGAATGATCGTATCTCCAAGACGGAAAGCTCAATGCTCAGGACTAACCAGCAGCTACATGCAACAGACTCCATGTATCCTTAAACCCCAGGAAGACCAAGCTGGAATTTTTTCTGCTTGCCCACAGTGGAACAAACGAGAGAAATTATGGGGAAAAATAAAAACCTTGTTTATCCCCTAAAGAGCTTTGGTCCCTCTACTGCACAGCCTGAACACCCTGCAGCACCGCCAGCCCCTGTTCTCAAAATCCCTGCAGCTTCTGCCCGGAGGCGCCTCTGACTAGACATTTTGGGCTCTGCTACACCTCCTCTCACTTCTTCCCTTAGAGTTTAGCCAAAATATTCTCCCAAACACCGTGATATTTCTATTTGGTGGCAAATGCATTACACGTCAGAAACCCAAGGCCTCTAAAGAAAACATTAAAAGAGGGAGGGAGAGCCCTCATGCATGTAGAATGAGCTCCCGCGGGACTCTCCGAGAAATCTGGGAGGAGAATCCACAGGAAGACCAAGCTGGAATTCATTCTGCTTGCCCACAGTGGAGAACTGAGTGGCTCCGGGGACTGTCCTCATCCTCCAGACATCACAAGGATCGGTGTGTGACGCAGGACCCTTGGGGGAATGACATCAACAGTCAAAATCCTTTGACATCAGGTCAAACTAGTGACTGAACTAGCTGCTGACCGAACCAGAGACAGCTGTGAAGCCAAGTCTACACTGGGCTCCTGGGTGGCACAGGGGGAGACAGAGACAGAGACAGACACAGAGACAGACACAGAGACACCAGCATCAAAGTTTTTTAAGAGAGGAAAAGATAAGAAGGAAAGAAGAGGTGGCAGAGGGAAGAGGTGGTAGGGATTGCTCTACATTCATCAAACTGCATCTTCATTTCCTCCTTTGGACACGGCTGGACCTTCCAGAGTCCCTCTCGGCCAGGCGTCCCCACACACGACTGAAACTCAGCCAACGAGCAAACTGCTGATTCCCTTCACTGGGGCGGAACCGTAACAACCAGCCCTGGGGTGCCCTGCCCACTTTGCTCCTCTTCTCTGACCAAAGCCTTTGGGATGGAAACGCTCCAGATAGATATGTATGTGTGGCAGTGAGAAGAATACCCTTCCCAACGCCCCTCACCCGCATTCTGTCGTGACCTGAGGAAGAACAGACATTTACCGCATTACGGCCCTAAGTCCTGGGGTGTGACTGGTGCTTCCCATGGTATTGTATAAGTCTGAGCTGGAAGACTTCAAAGAAATTTACTAATCAAGTCTCCACATTTTAAAAAAGAAGGAGACTGGTCTATCTGTGAAACAAAATGTAGCCTTTAAAAGTTATTTTCACAAATAATATGTAATAACATGAAAACTGCTACTTAAAAATAAGAGATTTTTTTTAAAAGAATAAAAAGTGACTATAAATACTTTGGAAAACCTCATGAATGGAAATGAACAAAAGATTGGAATGAAATACAGGTTGACTATTCCTTATCTGAAATGTTTGGGACCAAAAGTATTTCAGAATTTGAATTATTTTCAGATTCTGAAATATTTGCATATATATAATGAGATATCTTGGGGATGAGACCAAGTCTACACACAAAGTGCATTTATGTTTCCTATACTCCTCATACACAGAGCCTGTAGACAATTTTATAGATAGTTTTAATATTCCTGTACTTTTACTGCCACGCATCTCGAGCCCCAGTGAGGTCTTTTCCACCTGCAGTGTCTTCACAATCAGTTAGCCTGTGGCACTTCTACAGAAAGCTTTAGGCTTTGGAACATTTCAGATTTCAGAGGTTTGGATTAAGAGGGGTCATCTTGTGTATAAACTGTAAGAAAGGGAGCTTGGACATATGTGAGACTTTGTTTTCTCCTCTCTCCTATGTTCCCTAGATGAACACAGTTTCACCCTTAGAATGAAAATACCGCATAAAGCCCAGTACTGAGACTGCCACTGAAAGCTGCCCCTGTTCATCCTTTGGGGCCCTGGGAACGTGGGCTCAGCCAAGCGTCTGGGGTTCCTGCCTGGCCCTGCGCCCTTGGCTGGCAGTCAGTCCCCACAGCCCAGGCCCCCCTGCAGGGCAGAGACCGCTCTCCAGGCCCCACAGGGCCAGTGCGGTGGGAGGACTCACGTGTGTATGCAGTCCTCCTCCTTGCCATAGGCGTGAATCACACCCAGGCCCTGCATGGAGGAGGTGATGTGGGAGAACCACGGGGACCGGCTGACGTTCTCCACCTTCTTCAGCTCCTGGATTCCTCTGTGGAAAATGCTGCAGAGAAACCCAGAGGGGACAAAAGGGCCACAGAGTGGAGTCAGTGGGCTGCCCTTGGCATGTGCAGATCCACCATGCATGCACCACGACAGTGGGTCAGAGACGGGACACCCAACTGGGGAGAATGAGGGCCCTGTCACTGTTCTGCAGCAGAGCCTGTCCGGTTACATGTGGGACTTGGGACAGCTAAAACTGTTTCCTCTTCCTCCATTTGCTGTCAGACTTACATGCTTCTTTGGAAATGGGTGTGCAGGGGATCAAACCTAGGGTGCTCTACCGCTGAACCACATCCTTGCCCTTTTTACTTTTACTTTGAGACAGGTTCTCACTCAGCTGTGACCCTCAGTCTCCAAATCCAAGGCTTTATTCACCCAACTGGTGATTCTCCTGCCTTCGCCTCCCTCTGTGCTGGCCTCATCATACAGTGGAAATGTCACCCTGCATACGATGCAGTTCTAGTTCGGCAGGAAGATTGCTCCATGCAGTACTGCTCCCCAGACAAGCCAGCCCGTTTCTGAAGCCCAACGACAGAAAAATGGGTCTGTTGTAACTTGAAGGAAAATCTGGCTATCAGTGGCCATGTAGTGGTCTTCTAAAGACATCTCCAATGGCAACTATGGAAGACCACCGAGAAGGCTCCCCCAAAGATCACTTGTCTTCATGTTGGTTCGCCCCCGCCCTATTCTGTATACTGACACGTACAGAGAGGAGGGAGCCTCATTAGCTCAGAGCATGAGTGAGCTCGTTGGAAATGTTTAATTCAGTCAGGACCAGATCTGGTCTGTACCAACCTTATAGCAAGAAGTAGGACCCCAGGGAGAAATGGCTTTTGCTAAGTCAATCAACAACATAAACAGACGAGCAGACAAAAGAGTGGTCATAGGGTTTACGGAAATGAACACAGGCCCACAGAATCTGCCTGAAGTACTAACATCCAAGGTGAGCTCTATCTCTATAAATGAAATTATTTTTATTTAGCCATCACAATAAAGCCTTGGATTTGGAGACTGAGGGTCACTGCAGATACTGCAGTGAAGGCCTGAAGCTTCCGACCTCAGGGTGCTGGTGCCAACTCCCAGGGCCACACCAGCTCCCATAGAGATGCCAAGTGCAGCCTCTAACCCAGAGATTCTGGGCACATTTCACACTGTCCCCATCGTCACCCTCAGGCCTGATAGAGAAACTCAAACCATCGAAAACCAAACCCATCATGGCAACTCCTCAGACCACATGTCCTGTGTCACCTCCATCTCTCTACACATCACTGCCCATTTGGGGGCATCGCTGGCCTCTCTCATCTCCCTAATGTCCCACCAGTCAGGAAACCAAGACTACCTTATAAATAGCTCCTAAATCCAACCCTCTTTTCTGTTCCCACCACTGTTCCCAACATCTGGTCCTGGTCAGTTCTCACCCATACTCGCAATCTTGTGTGCGTAACATTTTACTCCACCCTTATGAGGTATAAATTGATCACCCAGGCTCAGCTGAGCCTCACAACAACCCCTCTGAAGCAGAGAAGGCACACATCTTATAATTACCATCCAGGAGATGAAGAAAACGGAGACTTACTGCTTTTCTCCGAACTAATTCATGCTCTTCCAGTAAAGCTATGGCTCTGTTGTCAATTTCCTTATTGGCAACCCTCACCCCGTGCAGCCCATCATACCTGCTGAGAACCCCACTTAGACCAGAAAGAAGAGGTAGCTGTGTCTCAGGGGCTGGAGCCCCTGCTGGCTTCCCGCCTCCCCACAGGCTGCAATGTGCCCAGTCCCAACAGACAAGCATCCTCAGGACAAAGCAGGGCTTTCAGTGCCCATGTTAACTGTGAGGGCAGGCTGCGCTCACAGGTCAGAGGGGCTGAGGATGGGTCTCCTCTCCCTTCTGCAGCAGCCAGAATGGTGGAGCCAGTGGTCAGGGACACTGCATATCAGCAGAGACAGTGGCCATAATTACTTGTTTCCTGGTCTGAGATCTACCTCTCAGGGTTCTCTGAAGCTAAAAATCACAGATGTGCATAGAGCACTTGGGGTTCAGCAAGCACTGAAAATCAGTGGGTTCCCCCCTCAGAGAGTGCAGCAAGTGCTTGCCATCTCCAGACCCCCAGCCACCATGCACACAAGCTCTACGCTCCTTCTAAAATAGTACATACACAGACCTACCAGAAAAGCATGATGAAGACCACAGTAACACCAGCCAGGACCAAAAGGACAGCAGGAAACACCACAGCAAAAATCACAATAATGAACACCACCATGAAGACCTGCTGCAGAAAATTCTCAGCGTGAAATGGCAACCTCACATCCAGCTCGTCCATATCCTTGGAAAAACGGTTCATTAGCCTGCCAGTGGGAGTTGTGTCGAAGAAACTCATCGGGCTCTTTAAGATCTGTAGACAACAGCAGAGGTAAAACAGACTTGGGCGAGTGTGTGGCAAAGGCTGTGTCACTCCGCTGGGGCTGGGGTGGGCACACAAGGCCCGGCCTTTTCTCTGGGGGCACCATCCAGCATGCCAGGCAACCCCAGGGAAGTGAGGATGGGTGCTGCCCTTCTTGTGGCAATCACAAGTGAATGTGGGGTGATCCTGCCTATCATTAGGATCAGGCTGCCAATCAGAAACTAGGACGCAGACTGGGGCCTTCAGAAGAAGGTGGAATTTCATGCCAGGGCAGTAAAAAACCAAATCCATTTTGTATCTTCACCCTCAAAATGTGAGTACTTGGCAAAGACACTTGGTGGCCAGTGATGGCCATGGGTGGCAGAGTGGGCTTCAAACACTCCTTGAGCCCCTTTTTGTACTCAGGACTCTTGGAGCAGGAGATGCCCACTTGGCCTGCATGCCCATGGTGCAGAATGGCTCCCTGCCTCTTCCCATGAGCCGAGGTGTACTTGGATGGCTCCCTGGAGTGGGCCTTCACCAATGGTAATTAGATCTGCAGGGACACATCACAGGGTGCAGGCTCCACAAGGGCCCTTCTGTCCCCAGGCACAGCTCAGTGCCTGCCACACAGAGAGGTCCCATAAGCCCCACTAGCTTGGACAATGGATGTGCCCTGGCCTGGGCCCCACCTTGTTGAACACTCTGTCGTGCAGTGAGGAGGACGCCATCAGCGTGGTCTTCGTGAAGATGAAGCCTTTGATGATGCCGAACACCAGCATGGACACCATGCTGGCTACATACACCCACTGGTACATGTGCTGCCCGACATCTTCCAGTATCCCGCCAATCTCACAGAAGGTCTGGTTGCCTTGCGGCCCACAAGTCATCTTTGGGGTGAGACAAGACAAGTCCCAAGAATTGGTGAAGTGTGAGGAGAAGGGGACTTTCCAGAGAGAGCTAGAGAGAGGTACACAATTGATGAGAGTAAGTCTGGCAGGTAATAACGTGAGTCATTGCCTGAGGAGCCTCTAAAGTCTGCGCAGCTCCTCCCCAAGGGGCACCCGGCATGAGATCACAAGATCAGAAGAAAAACAAAACAGACAAATGAGGCTGGCACAGGGCAGAAGTTACTGTGCCCCACAAGGCCCAAAATGATGGTAAGGCAGGGGATCCAGAGGCAAACAGGGAATCCAGACCCCATGAGACTGGCTGAGCTGCCCCCAGGTGCCTCGGGCAGGACACAGGCTCAGAGACCAGTCTTCAGCTTGCTGAGCTGCCTGGCAATGGCCACCAGCACCAGGGGGACACAGGGGTTCCTCTGCACAATGGCCAGCTCCACAGCACTTTCCTTGTCCGGCTCCCAAGGACAACAGGGAGGGCACTGCCCGAGAGTTCTGGGGGGAGCAGAGGGGACAGTGGGTACAGGGACTCCCGGGGATTTAAAGAAGCTGTGGCTCCCTGTGGCCTGCAGAGACAATTCCACCAGCACTCCTAGGAAAAGCTGTCTCACCCCCCCCCGCCCCCCCGAGAAATCAGCAGCTCCGTTTTCCTCTGGGCTCTGTGCTAAAAGTCAGGAGCATCTTTGGGGACCAAGGGAACATCTTTCTTCTAAATGCCACTCTGCTGATTACAGTAACGGAGGAAATGTAAACCAGAAGTGGCTGATGGATGAGGGTCCATAAAGGCAAAAGCATCCCTGGGGAGCTAACTGATGAAAGGCCCTGCTCACAGAGGAGCCGCCCATGTCTCGGGTTGTGCCCACATAGCCAGGGGCGGCGGGGTAAACACACAGGTCCACCACTGTGGCCTCGCACCCAGTGGAAGGACCAAGCCGAGGAGGAGGAGGGTCCACCGTGACCCTACACTGGGGCTGCCCAGGGAAGAGCCAGCAAGGATCTGGGAGAACAGGCACCTCCAAAAAGGGCTCTCTGTGTCCCCACATAGAAGGCCAGCCATCGGGCTCACCCCCAAGAATGGCCCTAGAAGCTACGCCATACAGCCTCTCCCTGCCCAAGCCGCCTGTTTGGTTGTCATAGCAACAGGACTGAACCAAAATGTAGTCTTGGTGGATAGGCAGACACCCTCACAGCAATCTCCAGGGGCCAATAGCAGGAGAGCTTCCAGCAGCCTCAAAGGAGAGAAAACTTATCAGTCCTTTCTAGGAGGGGCCTGGGAGCCCTGGGAGGGCTGGGAGGCAGGGAAAGGGCCCTGGTGGACCTGTAGCATTTGTAGGAACCAAAGTCTGACACTTCCATGTGCTGCTTCTATAGAGGAGACTTGGGGGATCATCCTGAGTCTCCTGGCACCTGGTAGCAGCCACAGGAAGATACTAGCTCCTCTTCAAAAGTAGACCAGTATCAGGTGGTGTCAGGGCTTCCGGACCCTCCCGCCTCCTCTGGGCTGCAGAACTGCCCAGTCCTCCATGTACTCAGTCCACCACTGGGTTTGACCGGTACCATCTCTGATCACCAGCCCCTAAAAATCTGAAAGTAGTGCAGAGAATTTCAGAAGCCCTCTTCAGCTTGAGAAACTGAGGGAATCCCAAGTTTAAACCATGAGGTCTAAGCAGCCAGCCGTAACTTCATGAAGAGACAAGAATGAGCTCCTGGTGTGCAGTGGGGCACGTTCTCCACCAGCAGAGGCCAGCACTGGGGGGGTGGGGGGGGGGCGACACAAGACAACTCACCTGGGAGCCCTTGTCCAGCCAGAGACCCAGCCACCAGTTGCTGAAGGCGGAGCTGCCGATCATCAAGAGGAAGAGTGAAGTGGTGAAGAGAGAGAGGAGGTACCCTGCGAGGAGAAGGAGGGGCGGCCTGAGGGTGCGCTCACCTTCCTCAGCACCAGCCTCGGGAACTGCTTCCTGCTAAACTCTCAATGTCCTGCCTTTGGGGCTCTTAACCCAAAGAAGACATCTGCCCCATTCCTCAGAAAATGGGTCAGAACTGTCAGCATGGGCACTGGAAAAGCCTCCGTGTGCACCCTAAGACAAGCTGAGGGTCCCTTCAAAGCAGAGGCGTGAAGACCCAGTAGTGGCTGGGAGAGACTGGGAGTGGCAAGGCAGGTTCGCTCTGCGCACACACAGATGGGACCCTTCATGAAAGCCAGGTGATCAGCGGCCGGTGGCTGCTGTATCAGAGCCCGGAGTGTGTGTGGGCAGAAGAAACCCCACTAACACAGAACCTGACAGCTTCAGTGGAGATAAAAAATGACTCCATTTAAAAGGCTGTATTATCAGGCTTCAGTTTTTAAGGGGAACAAAATAAAAGCGTTGATAAACAGTGCTGGCCTAAAGAGAAAATTTGTTAAAGGGATCATAAAACGTGAGCCCAGCAGTTTAAGAAGAGATTTTTTAAAAATACAAATTAAAGCAAGAAACCCGTTGTTTTATACCAAACCTCCAGAAGCCTGAATGTACGTGTGATATGTCTTCCAGGACACAGTGCCTCCGCGGGAGGATTCTGTCTGCGTGAGCTGGTGCGTGGGCGCTGCAGAGGGAAACACAGGGCCGTGGTGCTCCCTGGGGGCGGAAGCGGGGGGGAGGGGGAGTGGGGGTGGCAGGAGGGGGTGGTGCACAGGAGCACGGGAGAGGGCCGGGGTGGGCAGCAGCCCGGGGGGCCAGCTCACCCAACTGCTGCGCCTGCGCCACGGCTAAGAGCGAGCCCTGACAACGCCCCCATGCTTTCCAATTTCCAGAGCTTTTGTTCCTCTTATTTTGTTAGATCTTCGATACAACCCTGTGAGGCAGGTGGCTTCTAATGTGTTGAGAGATGCTTGTTAAGCACCTACTGTGTGCCGGCCTCGGCGGTAAAGGGCTTGTGCTGTCCTGTTGCTCCCGGAAGTGGACATTAAGCAACAGATACAAATACCTACCAGTCAGCCCCCTGCAGCTACAGCTCTGCAGCCACAGACTCCATCGAGTTCGCATTACAGACATTTGAAAAAGGATCATGCCTATGCTAAATATTTATAGACCTTTATCTTGTCATTATTCCTCGAACAATAAGTACAGTAACTATTTAGGTGGCATTAGCATCATAATAGAGATGATTTAAAGAACATGGGAGGATGTGTGCATGCTGCACGCACACACGGGTTCCTATTCCACACGGAGCGCTGCAGATTTTGGTTTCTGTGTGAATGCTTCGGAGCTGGCCTTGGGGCAGGATTGCAGTTTATTAGGAAGCTAAAGGGGATAAGGAAGAGAAGGCAACAGTAAAATATCATCAAGCCCCTTGGGCAACTGGGGCTGGCACCCACGCGCAGAGCTCTCCTAGGTGGTGGAGACCTCAGAAACTTCCCACAATGAGAAGGACCGGAAATTGTTAACTCCGGTGGCCACTGAGCTGCTCCTTGGGGAGGTCAATTTCCCAGCATGACTGTGGCTCCCGGCAAGAGCCCCGGGTAAAGGAACACAGAGGCGGCAACTGGAAGGTGAGCTACACACAGGAGCGACCGGCACCCCATCTTCCCCAAGGCAATCACGAAGGACCCATTCCTGCAGCCTCAGGGCAACTTCCAGGCACAGGGAAGCCAGGGGCTGCCTCCTGGGTCAGATGCTACGGCATCCCCAGCCCTCTCCATCCCCCAGGGGGTGGGGAAAGCCCTGGTGGAAGCAGCGTTTCAGGGGCAGGGATAAAGGCAGGCCCCAGAGCAGGAGCTGGAGGCATGCTTTCCCGGTGCTGCACGGAAAGGCGGGCAAATGTCAACTCAAAGCAGAATCATGAGCCGCACTTGCCTTTTATAAACAGATAAATAGAGCTGACCTAGGGCCGCCCCACACACGGAGGCTTTCACACCTCAAAGGCAGCTCGCTGAATAGAGCCTGGAACCTGCGCCTTGCTTTGAAAATGCGCAGCCTGGCTTGTGCTCATTGTGCTTCCCCTCACACTGGGCAGTGCAGGAAACGCCTTGGTGAGTGGGGAGAGCCTAATGAGCGGCACTGTGGCAGAAAAGGCAGATGGTCAAAGCCTCTAGAGGCCTGCCAGCCCTTTGGCAGGAGTGCAGGTGGATCTCAGAACAGCTCTCACAGGGCAGGCAAGATGCACCGTGCAGCCCGGCATGGCCACGTCCTGTCCCTGCTCATCCTGGAGTTCTGGGTCTCTCCCCAGTTCCCCTCAGTCCTCTGCACACAGGGGCAGGTGGCACAGAAATGAGGAGTGGAAATTGCTTTCCCCACAGGGCACAGACCCTGGGCAGTCTGCATGGTCCCTAAGAAGCTCCACAGGGATGTCTGGGCATTCAGCCTAGGAACCCTTCAAAGCAGTCAAAATGAGGTGTCTCTCTAAATGTGCTTGCATATATGTCACAAGCATGTTGGTGCCAAATTTGATCGCTTCCAGGACTTTTTTCTCTTCACATTTTAACATCTCTGAAATCTGAATGTGTGAGAGCATTTAATTGGCAGCATTTTCCTTCCTCAGTGGTACATTAAATGATAGTGGGCTCCGAATGGTGGGTGGCCCCTTACACTTGGTGAAATGTCTGTTTTCAGCACAGGGTAGGGCACTGGCTCAGGGGGGTGGACGGAGGGATGGAAGGCGGCAGTGACATGGAAGGAGGAAGGGTCGCTTGGCCACTCTGGCCCTCACCACCTCAGCTGTCCTCCCCGCCTTCCTGGGACTTCCTTGTCCCCTCAGCCTCGAGACCTCTATCTGCCCCTTTCCCCACCGTCCTGCACATCCTTGAAGGACAGTCTGAAGCTGTCCTTTGTCAGGTGCCCCCGAATTTGCTCATTCCTCCCACCCCTAGCTCCTATTACTCTTACCGGTTTCCCACAGTGAAAACTGTGCCTGGGACCCCGCCCGACCACAGGAGCCTGAGAACTCTTCTTCCTCTCCCCGCCTAGCCAAGGGTACGCACATAGTAGAATGCATAGCCCTTACTTTCAGAAGGGTGAATAACCTTATCCCTCCTCGTGATGCTGAAACAGTTCCCAAAAGTCCTGTGTTCCCGTGTCCACTACGATACTGCAGCTGACTGCGCTGTCAGCTCCGGCCTGGCTGGAAGAGGCGGGTCAGAGGGATGTGACGCTGGAGGTCCTCACCTGCTCTGGCTCCTGCCTGCTCTCCCTGTGTCCTGGCTGCCATGGTTGAGCAGCTCCCCCTTCTCAGGTCCTTCTGCTAAGGAGCAGCTGCACCTGGACCGAATACCCTGAAACCATGAGCTACATAAACCTTTCCTCTTAAAATGTGAGCACCTGGTGTTTTGCCCCCGTGAAGCAAAACTGACCAATGCACACGCTGATTCCCTTACTGCTCCTCAGACCTTTCTCATAAGGGATGCTCCACATAAGGGATGCAAAACAGCTCCCGTCTTTGTTTTTGCCTTGAATTAATCCTTGGGTATTGCTTTGATCACTCCAACGAATAACTCTGTGCGACAGGCACTGTGCTGATCATTCTATGTAGTTTCTCATTCAATCTCTGCAAGAACCTGTGAGGTCGGTACTGTTACTTTCCCATTTTATGTACTCGAAGGATAAAGTTCAGAGTGGTTGAGGTCATAGAACCAATAAGCAGTAAAGCCAGACTTTGAACTCAGCCAGCATCAACCACAGTGCACACACAGTTCTAGCTGTTCCCCTGATGGTCACCATTCCTACACTTTCTACCCCAAGCTGTAGATGCTCAACTCATGCCTAAGAATATGTAATGAGCTGGCTATGGTAGTGCACGCCTATAATCCCAGCACTTGGGAGGCTGAGGCAGGAGGATTGCCTCCTGTTCCAGGCCAGCCTCCTCTGCATGGCAAGACCCTGTCCCCTTTCCAAGGGAAAAAGAAATTGTAACTAAAGGAATAAATGAATGGTCCATACCTTTTTTGTCTACAAATTCTGACTCAGTTCCAGATTCTTTTCCTTCATCTTTCTCATCTCCTGGGGCCAAAACTAGGGCGAGAAATAAAGAGATCCGTGTCCGTTTGGTAGTGACAGGCAGTAAGAGCCAGGATGCTAGCTCTGACCCTACCGGCATCTTGATGCTTCTCAGCAGGGCTCTCCTTCAGGGCCTCCACCATGGCTGCATTGTACAGGTGTTCAGGGTCCTAGAGACAAAGCCAAATTCCTTCTGAAAGGGAAATGACGAAGCTTCTCCCAGGCGGGAGATCCCAGTGAAGGCCCCAGGCACGCACACACCCCACACGGGGACTCAGGGGTACCTTGAACTGCAGCCCTCGAAGGTTGTGGATCAGTTTCGCGTAGCGTCCCCTCTCCTCCATTAACTCCTTGTGGGTCCCTTTTTCACAGATCTCTCCGTCTTCTAACAAAATGACTTCATCGCAGGACTCCAGGAACTACAGAGAGGGTAAAGACACCTTCCATGAACCTCTGCCCTGGCCAGAGAGGCAACATGTGTGCCAAACCTCCAGGTGGCAGTGGTCAGTGCATCTAACAGAGGGGTTCTCAGCTTCGGCGGTACTGACCTTGGGGGCAAAAATAAGCTCTGTCTGCCTGGCAGGCATGACGTCCTGAGTTCAATTACTGGTACCCACACAAAAATAAATAAAAAATAAACATCACAATCATAGTTAAAAAAAAAAAAAAAAAGCTTTGTCTGGGGCAGGGGCTGCCCTGTGCCTTGTAGGACATTCAGTGGGCTCTCAAACGGATCTCTACCCACCAGAACCTGCAGCATGCCTTCCTGTAGTCCACAGAAATGTCTCCAAATGTGACCGGGTGCCCCCAGGACCCCCAGGCAGGAACCAGGGACAGAAAACACGCAGGTCTCAGGAGGACGAGTGCCGGCCTCTGCTTCCCTGGGAAGCACAATGAATCCTCCTTCACTTCTGCTCCCTAAATGAGCTGCCCTCCCACACAATCTGATCATGGAAAAATGAAAATGAAAGTGACAGTCACTACAGCCAGATTGGGAGAGGAAACAGACTCAGTGACGGTCTCTCTCCTCCTAACAGGACATGTCCTGGTCTCCATTGAGCTCAGGGCCACCACCCTTGGCACAATAGTACAGGCTCTCCTGAGCCTGGTGTGCACCATTTTAGGTGTGATAAAAACATAGCGTCCCTTCGTGGGGACCCCCATCTTGCCCCAAACACCTCTGTTTTTCTCATGTGGATCCCTTCATGTCTGTGTCAGAGTTCTGCTAAGAGGGGCTTCCCTTCCCTTGGGGTGAGCCAGAAGTTCTCTCACAGGACTCCCGTGCCACAGGCAGGAAGAGGTGCTAGAGGTGGACAGATTCTGTGAGCATCAAGATGGTTCGCCCAAAGAAATTTTACAGCAGGAACCAGACATGCCTCTAGCTGCAAGGTCCATCCAAGGTCAGATCTCGGTAGATGCTCGTTACAAGCCCAAAGGAGGTGGCCCTATTTGGTGCCATCCACCTGGCAGGAATGGAGCAATGGGGTGGTGCCCAGAGGGTAAAATGACAGCAGTTTTAGCCTTTGCCTCTCGGTCCAGGCCTGGCACAGTCCAAGCAGACCTGGCCTGGCTTTAAAGCCAGCTCAGCGCATTCTGATACCTTTTCAGAAGACAAACTCTTGCATTTATCTATCATCTCACAGCCTGATCTCTTCTCTCTCAGCCTCCCATTTCTAGTATCTCAAAAAAGTCAGGCTGATTTTCTAGATACAAAGCCATGAATCGACTGATTTTCTAGATGAGGAAACTGAGGCGACATAGGTCCTGTTACCACCTCACAACCCTTTCTGCCTCAGTCAAGGCCAACACCTTGGGCCTGGAAGGGCCTGGTGAGCTCCCTCTGGCCTATGAGCCCCCAGTTCACTTCAGCAAGGATCCCCAAGTTTGAGCAGCTTTGCTCTGCAAACGCTCACCAATCTGGCCCTGGGTCAAGAGCCAGCAGCTGCTGGCCTCAATCCGTGCACCCTCAAGTTAGTAGAAATGTGGCCTCCCACCCGGGCACTCAGTGGCACCCCAGAAAAAGCCCCAGGCTCCACACTGGAGCTCGGTGTCCCCTCCTGACAGCAGAGCGAGATGCTGGTGCCACCTGGTGGCCACCTGCATTTCCCAGTGTGCAAAAGAGCTAAAATGACCTTGGGAAAGGAGGGGTCTGAGGTCCAGGCCCAGGAATGGTGATTCTACAGGCTGAGTGTCCAAGATGGCCCATGGCTGAGGTTTGGGCTTTTCCTACAGGGACAGCTGTGGGGAGTCCCTCTTCAGGTCCCAGGGAATGCTCCAATAACAGCTCTGACACACCTAAAACCCTGGCCAGACCACAGTCCATTTCTGCCCAGACCAAAGAAATCCAGGCCCCGCATTTCCTGACCGAGCTTTGGCCAGCAGAAGAAATGGAAGCTCTCATCCATGTCAAACCCCAGGAGCTGGTCAAGGAACTCCGCCGAGAGCTCACAGCAGATGCTGGGGTCAGAACTCTATTCCTGGGCAAAGGTGGGCTCAGGGCCAGGGCTGCAAGGACAGGAAAGCCTGCGTCCTTCCTGGGCAGGTTTTCCTGCGCCTTTTAGAAACTCCCCCTCATGTGGTGGAGCTTCAGCTCCACCCTGAGGTGCTGGCTGCAGCATCCTGTCAGCATGGCAGCCTCATTGGCTGCAACCCCCATGCCCACTGTACTTCCATACCCACCCCCGTCTCTGCCCTTAGACCAGCCCTTGCTGAGCTTACAGGAGAGAGGAGAGAGGGGTTCTGTCACACCCTAATAGGCCTCCCAGTGCAGGGCCCTCCCTGGGATCACATCCTGCAGGAGACCAACACCCAGGCACACAAACAGCTCGTCTTGGGGCCCTCGCTCTGGAGAGGGCAGAGGGAGGGAGCAAGCAGAGAGTAAAACCTGGCTTGTCTTGGGATGGAGAAGGGCTTGGGTTCCCACCAGGCATCCAGGACCTTTGCTGCAGGACTGATGCAGTGAGGACTGTCCCCACGCTGCCAAGTCCTCCTGCCCACTCAGGACAAACTGTCACTTCCTTCAACAAGATTCCTGCTCCTAAGCCTGCAAGAGATGCACCTTCGCAATAAAAGGGCAGATTCTAAGCAGATCAGCTCTCCCCTGGGGGTGAGGGCTGGGGTCTTGGCATCTACCACCTGGCCATCCTTGGCCCCACTGAACCCAGAGGTAGGACCAGTGGAGGCCATGCAGAGAAGCAGACAGGAATACTGGAAGAGGGGATGACTGGAGTGATCTCTGTCTCCTGTGTACCCTGCTTCCTCCCATCTCATTCCTCAGTCAAGAGAAGCCTCGGACAGGAAAGGGAAGAGGAGGCCATGAGCATTGGGTGGCACCCCCCAATCTCCTGGGCCCGGCAGGGGAAGTCACCTGCAACTGGTGTGTCACCAGGACCACAGTCTTCCCCCTGAGAGCCTTCTTAATGCACTCCTCAAAGATGTGCTTCCCCACGTGGGCATCCACGGCTGACAGGGGGTCATCCAGCAGGTAGAGCTGACGATTGGAGTAGACGGCGCGAGCCAGGCTGATCCTCTGCCTCTGCCCCCCCGAGAGGTTGAGACCCCGCTCCCCGATCTGCAGACAGGGATAAAAGCACTGCCCATCACAGGTCCTCGCCCACCACCCTCCGGTTCTCAAGAGCACGGTTTTCTTGAAGCTTCTCAGGACTTGGAGAGCAGACTGACTGACCATCATTGCATGCAGCACACCACACAGGAAGCCAGGGTGATGGTGCAGGGAGCTGCTGAGAGAAGTGTCTGCCTCATGATACCCCATCCCAATGTGTGGAGACTGTGTCTGGACCTACAGTAACTCCAAGGGAGTTATTTGACTGGAAGCTCTCAGACAGTGGCTCAGGAACAGGAAGGAGCTTTCTCCCACAGCAGGCAAGCCTTTCCATCAGGAAGAGAGGATCCCTGCTCCTGTCCCTTCAAGCTGAGTGGCTCAGTGTGGAGAGGCATACAAAGGATGGATGGATGCCCAGGTGGCTCTGAAGTGAACTCACATCACTTCCTGCTCTTGGAGTCTTGAACTGGGGCGCTGGAGGTGGGACCCGGGGAGCTGGGCGGAAGAAGCACCCTGTTTGTCCGGAGCTCATGTTTCAGGGTGGGAGTCAAACACACGAACGCACACACACACACACACACACACACACACACACACAAAACATGGCTCAGGAAAAGTTCTGTGAGCAGCAGGAGAAGCCTAGTTGGAGTCTTTGGGGCAGACTGCTTCAGATTACAGGATTTGAGAAAGTCCTTAAGGAAAGAACTTCAGGGCCAGAACTCAAGAGTGGGGTAACAGCAGCAGGGCAGAGGCAGAGAGGCCAGAGGTGAGTGCACTCTTTTGGGCAGGCAGGCAGGAAGGACAGGCAGAAATGCAATCCTGTAGGCAGGCGAGGGCTGCCGGGTCAGGCCAGGAGGCTGTGGGGCCCAGTGCTTTACAGGCAGACTGAGCTCACCAGCAGAGAAAGACAGCGTGCTCTGAGCTGTCTTCTCTTCAGATAGCATTAGCTTCCTGAACTCCTGGGGGACCCCAGAAAAGGGGGACAACTATGCAAAGACACAGTGGGCACAGAGAGCACAAGGTTGCAGTGACTCCCCTGGGTCCTGTGGTCTGGCAGGTTCAGCTCAGGACTGAGCCAGGTCTTTGGACAGGCATCCCAGGGAGAGTGTTTTGGGATGACCCTGGTGTCCTGGGATGGGCAGAACCAGTGAGGCTTGAGGGGTCTAGGGCTCTACCAGCAGGCAGTGCCCCACTCCTTCTCTACCCCTGAGTGGGAAGCGGTTTGCACAGAACCCTTCCCTGACCTGACCACAGATGGAAATGGTCCTAGGAGAGAGCCAAGGGTGCTGGCCCACAGCACTGCCCACAAGCACAGATCCAGATGCACTTTGCTTGCCTTTTCTGGGTTCCTCCTGTCCCCAGCCCGTGAAGAAGAATCAGGACCTAATGGGCAACTGCCCTGCTCACCTCGGTCAGGTCTCCGTAAGGGAGGCTATTCAGGTCCTTCTGGAGGCCACAGACGTGAACTGTGTGCTGGTACCTGCAGGTGCAAAGGTCAGAAGTCAGCATGGCAAGGAAGACCCCAAGCTCTGCGCCCTAGGATGTTCCTGTGCCTCTGTGCTGTGGGGCCTAGTGGGGAGGTAGCAAGTGCCACACTCAAGGCTCCCAGGCCAGGGACTTACGTGAGGGCACACACATGGCAGGACACCAAGCTCAGCAAAGAACCCAAGAAGCTTTCACTCGAGGACAATGGCCCAACATATATCAAATAATTTAACTGGTACTTTGTTATATTTCATTAAATCATTTTGAGAACACCAATATATCGTGATAGCGCTGATAACAATAATAATGTCAGGGCTGATTAATTGCATGCCTGCTGCTTAAAATGTTAAGTAAAGTTTTGGTTACTCAGCCTAAAGCAAAATTGCCAGATTCATTTTTCTCCAGTCAGACAACATATGCCCTGCTACAGAAAACCTCAGAACATACGGTAATTTGCCTAGGAACCAAGTGTCAGTTGCCTCCTCCTCTCGGTGGGTGGTCTTGGGTCTGCACAAGGTACCACTCCTGAACTTCTGGGTCAGGCAGAGCATGGCAGTGCCACGTGGATCCAGTGACTGTTTCACCAGAGCTCAGCAGAGAAACCCACTTAGTAATCATTACCAGCAACCTCTGCATCTGCAGCTGAGCATAACGGATACTACAGAGCTGCACACTTTAGAAGTCAGTGTTACCTTTGGTGGTTGTACTTTTCTCCAAATAGAATGTTTTCCCTCACATTTCCATGAAAGATCCAGGCTTGCTGTGAAACATAGGCCAGACTCCCATTGACTGCCACAATCCCTTTCTGTAACTGCATCTGGAGCAAAAATGCCAGAAAGTGCTCAGAAGCCAAACCCCAAGGCTCCTTCCTCTGGAACCACTGTGCCCTGCTGGACTGAGCATTGAATGGGTGACGTGATGCCTGCCTAGACACTGCACAGCCAAACTGTGCAGAAGGATAGTCTCAAAGTCATATCTGCCAAGCGCCAGGCAGGGAAGCTTAGGAAGAGCTGCCGCAGACCCGAGAGCTCCAATTGGAGGCTTCTGAGGCACCACAGGTGACCTCTGCGCTCGCTCCCAAGAGGTGCCCTGTGAGCGGACTGACTCAAGAAGCCCTGTTTCTTCCAGACACACTGGCAGAGGCCCAGTGTCCTTGGCTTGTGTCTAGATGTCCCCTGGTGTGCTCCCCTGGGGCTTTGGGAGAGACTGAGTCATGAGTGTATGATAATGGGTCACGGGTATGTTGAGGATTTAGCACACTGACAAGGTTAGCATGGGTTTGGGTGTGGCCCAGTGGGTTTACAGGAAGGCAGGAGATCCACGCTGAACATGAGTAGCACCAAACAACAGGCGTGTAGCCTGGATGGAATAAACAAGAAGTGAGGGAAGGAAGGCTGCCACCTTCTGCCTGCCCCGCTGTGGGCTGCTTCTCCTCTGCCGAGACCCTCTCTCTGCCTTGGAACCGGATGGTGATGGACTGAAGCTTCTAAAACTTGTGAATTAAAATAAACCTTTCCTCCTCTACCTTGTGGGTATTGGGTATTTTGTTCCAAGAATGAGGATGCAGCTATGCTGGCTGCTTCCCTGGGAGCAAGGCATGGCCTACATACTGTTGATGGAGGTCCATCCGTGCCTAGCATTAAGGAAGCAGCTGGTTCAGTGGCACAGTGGGCACCATGCAAGGGTGCAGGCTGGTGTGGCCACAGTTGATTTTTCCAAGCGAAATGGGAAGTTGGGTTTTGTGTATAACTCTGGGTCTTATGGTCATGGACAATCCAATGAAAAACTACACCCAGGTTCCAGATTGTAACCCTGGATGCACAAGGCCATTGAAGCTGATCCAGCATGGTGGGCTTATGGGAGGTATTGAGGACACTGGTGGGAATGCACTACTCAAAGCCATCAGAAAGTGACACAGGGGCAGGACTGGTAGTCATGGGACAGCAGCAGCAGAGGACAGGGAAGATGCCAAAGGATGTGGTACCACTTCCCCTCAGGAATGGCCCAAGGGACACACAGTTGGATGTGCATAATGATATCAGTGATAACAGTAATAGCAATGGATAAGATGTGCAGCTACACCCAGGCACTGGGTGGAGTGTACCATAAGATGCTTATCACCACAGAATCATCCTCTAGCCAACTACTGCAAAAATTATCTCACTGAATCCTCACCACCACACTCCTCAGCCCTGTTTTAAAGAAAAGAGAAATAAGGCTCAGAGAGGTTAATTTATTTACCCAAGGTTAAACAGTGGCCAGTGGCTCAGGCAGGTGATGAATGCAGGCAGGCTGGGGCTCACCAGGATAACTACCAGCCGCCCAGCAGCCACAGGGAGAGACTGACCCTCCAGTGCCTCAGGGAGATAGATTCTACCTCCTCTGAGATGTCCCAATTAAGACAAAAGGGTAGACGTTACAAGGTGGCAAATTTCACTCCAGTACGCATCAAAGAACTCCAAAAATGGGGCTGCCTGGGAAATAGTTTCCTGGCGCTAGAAACTTCTTAGGTGGTTACAAGGGTTCCTGTCCTCGGGCAGAGAACTGGGCTGGGTCACCTCTGACAGGGCCTAAACTATCACAGGGGCACACGCACTGCATCCCAGAACATAGGGACCTCAGTAGCATCCCCTACCCAGCCTGCACCCCACCACAAGGAAGGGGTAGTCACTCTGTCTACAGAGGAGTCTTGAAGGCCAAAGAAAGTCACTCACATGGGAGTTTAGAAAACACTTTCCACCCTGGAGGGGCTCTACTGAACCTGGGGTCCTCATTTCTTCAGAGGCATCCCAATCTCTTCCTGCTACAGGCAGTCCCAGCTGTACAACCTTCTCTGTAACAGCAGCAGAGTAGGGAGAAGGATTTAACACCTTCTTCCAGAAAATTTCTCACTCATTTAGGATGCAACTCAGAAACCATGACACCACAGAGGCCTGGGAAGGTGGTAAGAGGCCATTCCTCCTGAGATCATGTAGCCTGCAGTGATATCAGAGGAAAGACAGGACCTGGCTCTGCCTCTTCCTACAGAAGGTCTGCAGATGCATTCATTCCGCCACTCCTCCCCTGAGGTGGGCTCGGCTGAGCACTGGCTCTAGGGAGACCCTGGGTATACCCAGACAAATCAGGGCAAAGCACATCTACTGTCACCTCTAGTCTCAGACTCTTTTGTTCGCCACCACGCTTCCTTCCTGGATTTTCCAAATCAGGACAACCCAAGTCAGCCCATCTCTTCCTGACCCAGTTGTAGCTCTAGGCAAGAAAGTGGTCACCATTCAACACACATCTCAGAGGGCAAGCCTCAGAGCACGGGGAAAGCTAAGCCCTGTCTAGCCAATGGGCCCGGAGCTGCCAAGTACATTACCAGCCCAGAAGTCACCGTGCATTATATGGGTGAGGTCCAGTGCTGCTGAGCCTGCCCACTGCAGCTGCTATTCCACTGGCCCCCCAAGTCCCCAAACTCTGGGAATGGTTTGTCTGTCACATTAGAGCTCCACCTTCACAACTTGCACCACACAGCTTACCTGTCCCAGGAGAGCTGCAATGAGGGAACTCTTTCCACTCCCAACATTCCCGCATATCCCCAAGACCTTGCCCTGCCAGAGAGATAAAGATAAGACCCGGTCACTCTCCTAAGTTCCCAAAGTGTCTCGGGCAAGGGGTCCTCCCAGACCGTGTCACTGTGCCACGAGGGTACAAAGCATTTCTGCTGGCTCTGCAAGGTGGCAGCTGCAGCCTCACCCCCAGCCCCGGCACACACAGCCCCAGAGGCTGCAGGAATGTAAGTCTTAATTAACTGCTCTCCTCGCTCGGTAGAGCAGAGCCCAGAGGGCTTCTAGAAATCATGTGCAGGCACTGATGTGAAACAGCCCCGTGCCAGCCTGGAGGACGCCAGGCCCTAGACAGGAGGACTGTCCTGTACCAGACGCTGGGAGGTAAAGGGCTGTGCAGCCCACAGAGGACAACGGCAGCCTTTGAAGCAGGAAGAGCCGAGAGCCGGGAGCTTTTCGAAAGTCATTTTTTATTAATTCCTCCAGCATAATACCTCAGTCTAAATGTGGAACAGTAATACTATTTCACCAGGTTGGGCTAATCTTCAGCTGTGGCTTTATTAATGCAACCATGAAATTGTTATTTAGCACCTGCTCTGTGCCAGCTACTGAGAACCCACAGTAACACACACAGCAGAGAACACAAGAATTCAGCGTCTGCCCCCACAGAGCTCCTGTTTCACTCAGCAAAGGTCGACAGGAAGCAAGGCAGGAGGGAGAGACAGGGAGTGTGAGGGAGGTGAGGGTGGAAGGAAAGCCTTCCCGGAAAGGCGGATGTCTCAGCTTGAGTTCTCCCAGAAATAGACTGACTCAAGGGTTTAGTGAAAGCTGTGTGTTGGGGGAGGTTCCAGAGACACCTGGAAGGAAGAGGGGTAGCAAAACCAGAAAAGGATGCAAGGTAGACTCCTCAGTCAGCTCCCACAGCAGGCACACATGGTTCCATGCTGCCGGGGGACTTGAGGAACTCGGGGACCCTGAGCACCGTCATTGCCTGGAGGCTGCTCCTGGGCTGTGAAAATCCTGGTGCTCCGCAGGTGAAATGAGGATCCCTTGGGCACAGATGCAGACCTAGCTGTTGGAAGGTGGCTTGAGCACACCCAAAGTCCTGGGGACATGGGCCACAGACAGTGCAGCAGCCACTGCAGGCAGCCGGTTTGAGCAGACTGCGCTGCGGCAGAGCACCCCAGAGCACTTGCATCTGACCTGTTCCCTGCAGTCCCTTAGGGCAGAGATCCCCATCATGGGACCAAATGTGGCTCCTTTCCTGCCCAAGACCAGATGTGTCCATCAGCTGCCTGCAGCACCCAGCACATACACTTGCCACCTGTCACCAGGAATTCCTCTGACCAATCTTTATCGAATGTCAGCCATCAGGGATAAACAGCGATGGAGACAAATGTGGCCCCCATCCTCTGAGCACCATAGTGTACTGCAAGCTGCAGGAAAATGAAGCTGACCCTTTTTAATCTCACTGAAAGGCACTCCGGAAATGTCAGGGAGACTTCAGGACACACAGGTTTGGATCCAGTCTCCCTAGGTATTTGACTCCTCTCCCTTGCATTCTGTCCATTTCTGAGGGTTAGAGCATTCTAGATCCATCCTTATCCTCAGCAGAAAACCAATACCCTCTGGGTTCCTCATTAGTCATTTTTGCATTCAGCAAACCTTACTAAGCACCTATGAGCCAGGGACTGGGCTGGGCGTTAACTGTGAATAACACACCCTGCACTTGTCCTGGAAGACAGAGTCTAACGCAATCATGGAGTTAAATTTCGAAGAACCTGGATGGCCTGAATGTAGGACATTTTAAGGGCTGCACTCGAGCTGGCTATGATCGTTCAAGGAAAAGGCAGTAACAGCTGCTCACAGTGGTTGATACTTACACTGGGCTCAACGTTTTCTATGGTCCTCTCTTTCAGTTCTCACAACCATCTTGTGAAGTGGGTATTATAAAATCCTTGCAGGAAATACAGACACAGAGGCTTCAAGAGCTGAGGCAATATACTCAAAGTCAAATAGCTGGTAAGTGGCCAGGACTGGAACCAAGGCCCCCCAGGCCCCGAGGCACCCTTGATCCACCCAGCTACATCACCCTGACTACTTCTTCCACTTGTTCGTCAAATGTTCAGCACACACTTGACACACAAACCCATGCATTACCAGTGTACTAAAGAGAGTATTTGGAGTAAAGCAATTAGAGAGCTAAAACGCAGTTTCTTTGGAAGATGACAGCAGCTTTCTGGGTTTCTTCTGGGTTTCTTCTGAAGCAACTGGAAAGGCAAAGTTAGAGCTTGCAGCCACTACACTCAGGGGCACATGGAAGTGACAAGTGGGCAAATAGCTGCATGCAATGCGACGTCACAGAACTCCAAGCTCCACTGCCATCAGCCCACCCAATATTAGATGCTGTCGCCAAGGAGCACGTGAAAAATGACCTCGTTCACCATGAGAAGCACCGTTCTCAAGCTGGCTGCTGAGTTTAGCATGGCACAGTAAATGAGAACCTCTCCTTCAGAGGTTTCACAGGAAAACCGTGAGTCTATGAGATGGGAGATAAAATACTAGGTACGAGATCAATGCTGAACCCTCGGCAGCAGTGGTGCTGCAGAGTCCCCGGGGCAAGAAGATGCCTGCAGGAGACACAGAGCCCTGAACACACACCTACAGACTCTGCCCTTAACTCTGAGAGAAGGAAGACATGGTCTGCCTGGCTGGCAGGCTGGCTGGCTGGCTTTGTTCTGCCCCCCTTAGCTGGAGTGACTGCTGGTCTCATTTTGCTTTTTACAGGAGAGAAATTCAAGGTGGCTAGGGGTACAGACTGGGCACCCTGGGGTGAAGCCCTCCCTGCCACTCGCTAGACACACAATCTTCAACAAGTGAGTTTACTTGCTCCAGCCTCTGGCTCCTCAGTCACAAGGTGGAAACGGTTAATCCCTCCCTCACAGGGTTATTGGAATGGCAGAGTTCAGTATGTACCTGATAAATGGTAAATGTTCATTGTCAGTTAGTGTTCTCTAGCTTAATGCCCCAGTTTGAAATTCAGAACAAATCTAAAAAGATTTATAAAAGCTGGTTAGTCTGAGTCTAACCACCTGAAATGCTGCATCCATTCAAAAGCGCCGCTGGTCCCACAAAAGGCACTGAATCTACCTTCTCTAAACAGGAGGAAGATGTCTCTGATGGTCATGTCCACAGTTTTAACGCTGGGGAGGAGGGAGGCCTACAACCACCAGCTCCCACTGACTTTGAAGAGGCTAGAGGAAGAGATGGAAGCTGTGCCTCCAGAGCCCACAAAGGCCCGTGTGCCAGAAGCTCGGGGTAGTGTCCTGAGCAAGTTGCTGACATCTAGGAGGAGGAACGCCTGGGGGTCCCCAGTCAAAAGGCTTTATGGGACCCCATCTTCTTTCTCTTGTTTCCTGTTTCCTGGTATCAGGGTTTGCTCTGAGACATGCTGCCTGCCATGGTGCATGTCTTTTCCCAGGGACCTAAGCCATAGGGCTCCAATCTTGGACCGGAGCTTGCAGAACTATGTGCCAAAATAGACCCCTGCAAGGAGCTGATCCGATGTTCTGCAAAACAATGCAAACCGACCACTGAACCCACCTTTCTCACCACAAAGCTTATGTTGTGCAGTGCTGGCTTGGGCTTGCCGTCTTGCTCCTCAGCATCAGCAATGCCCTGAGCCAGTCCACTTGGCTGGCTGTACATCTTTGGCCTCTGTTTCTTTAAAAAGTGCCTTTTCTGGTTCTGCACTTTCTCTGGGACACTTTTCATGACGACTTCTTGCTCCCATGTCAAGGTGGCATTTGCTAAAAGCAAAACAGTGCCTGGGTCTTCTGGCTGGCTGATGTAAGATGGGGGGCTTTTAGCTATAAGAATTCTCTAAGATTAAAGAGATACGATGAAATGAGAAGGTGTCATCCTTTTGCGAGAATCTACCCATACATCTTCTAATGACCCAAAAGCACAAGCTTGGCAATTCTACCCAGGACATCCGATAAAGGAATTCTGAGGCTATTCCCCCAGGAGAAGTTACAGCAGAAATAGTCTACCAGCTCAGGCTATCTGGGGCAGTCGCCTCTTTAGCCACTAGGCCTATACGGCTCACCCACACTGAGAACACTAATCCCACTCATATTCCTCCCTGGGGCCCAAGGCAGTCAGCCTCTACCAATCTTGGGGTGACAGACATCACTGCTTGGCACCAATGCCTATGAAACCAAGGTCATGTTCTTAGTCATGGTTAGGGCATTTTCCTAGGACCCCACTCAGCTCATTCAGCAAAACATTTGCTAGGTGCCTCCACGAGCCAGGGTACAGGGTGAATGGCTGAAAAGCAAATATAAACAAGGCCACAGGTCCTGTCCTCCCAGAGGCTGACCTGGGAAGAGACAGGAAGACGCACAGATCACTTTAGGGAAATGTGCCAAGACAAAGCACTGGAACCCAGAGAAGGACACTTGGCTCTCCATCCAGGAGGCCATGTCACTCTTGCCTAAGCTGAATCTGTACATGGTTACACAGGTGAAGTTAAGGGGGAAGTCGGAGGCTGGGTGTGTCTGAGGGAAAGGCATGGTACAGGCAGAAACAGGAGGCAACAGTGTGGTTGTTGGGGCAGGGCCAGCCGTGAAACAAGCAACCCAAGATCACTGAGTCACAGGAAGGAAACAGAAAGGCAAGGGAGAGCCCAAGTGCTTGAGGATTTGAAGCAGTGACCACACCAGCGTCTTAACAGCTTCCCGGGGGCAAGGGCCATGTGGATTTGAGGAAGCGAGTGTGGAGAAAGGAGGGTGGGCCTGTACATCAACTCTGCTAGCTCAGATGCAGATGATGGAGTCCCTGAATAAAGGTGATGGCAACTGGAACATCACCTCGAGTCTGAGGAGCACCCTTAATTCTTCTCTGGTATCACAATATGTACCATGAATGCGGAATGCGATGGTGTCAGATCTTGTGTGGTATTCAGAAAGTGATACCCGTGCAACCTCCCATCTGGTTCTGCAGTAGTGCCTCTCAGAACTGAGGGGATATAAGTTATCAGGACGGGACACTCAATGAGGCTCTGGATTTGTGGGATTTGGAAAATGAGCAAGAGAGGAGGACAGGAAACAAGGGTGGTTAGGGTGACCTCCAGGTTCCTGGCTTGGGTGAAGACTATCAAATCAATGCAAATATCTGAAACATCTTTTTGTGACCAGAGTGCCCTTCTCCTTTCCCTTTCTTCATCTGAATTTTGAAATTATCTTACCTGCCCTTCCTGCATGTTCCTTATACCCTTCACATATAATAAACATCGAGGTACCTGGCTTTATCAGAGTGGAGGTTTTCAGGGTTAAAATATTGTATCTGCTACAGCCCTTGCAGTAAATCTTTGATGAATGAACAACTAAATGATCAGCTATATCAGTGTGGTCCACTTCCACTGCCATCACTCCCATCACCACACCCCTCACAGAACAAACCAGGTAAAGGGGAGACGGCTCAGTGCAAACCCAACCCCACTCTGGGACAACCTAAGGCCCTTGGCTGGATCAAGAGTAGAGTCAGAAATATCATCTCCACATACAGAGGCTGCCGCATTTTCCCACGAGGGCAGGCCACCTACAAAACTCGAACTATTCCTTCCTTCATGAACCTCTATTGTCCCAACTCCAAAACACCCTTTTCTCAAGGTCAGCCCAACAAGTGACCAAGCCCGTCAATGGATCAGTACAACAACCCCAAATCCAAGCTCTTTGCACCCCGATGTGAGCGCTCTCTTCCCTACTCACCCAGAGTTACTTATACCTTCATTCTCCTTAGAGAGACATTGGCTTCCACCATTGCTTTGACCGAGAAAGGCAAGATCGCAATAGAAAACTTCATGACATTGAACATGGCAATCACGCTAAAGGCCTGAGGAACAAAGAGAACATGAGGGTTAGAATGGGCAGTGGCTTGGTCTAAACCATCCCATCCATGGAAGTCAAAGCTCTGAGGCAAGAAGAATCAGCACAGTGGGTTCACAAAGGAGCTGCTTTCCCTTTCATGGCCCAGAACCCACAGGCTGGCAAATTAGGGACAATAGCATCTCAATCATTTAGTTTCTAGATTTTCACTGCAATAGTGGGAAATATATCCACTGGTATCTGCTGATTCAGGAGGGAGCCCATCTGGGGCAGGCCATCCATACCACATCCTCCTACAAATCTAGGCATTTATTCAAAAGGCTGTGCAGTGTTCCTAGGTCAGAGCCTGCTGTCCGTGCTCCAGGGGTATCTGGTCCTTGGGAGTCAGAAACAAAAATGGTAGCCCCCTGGGAGGACCAGTCTGCCCCTGCCCACTGTCCCAGAGTGACCTCTAGTTTTCCTGTCCCCACGCCTGGCTTCTGAGGCCTGTCTCATATGCACCAAGGCCAGATTTGAGAGCTTTCACTCAATGGCAAGTTCCCACAAGTCCCCATAAAAGCCATCTCCTATCTTCCGTCCCCACAGAGCGCTGCCTAGTGGACAAACACTGGACAGACCAGTGAAGACAGGCTCCCACCTGCAGCTGGCAGTCAGGGTCAATGACCCACCCTCAGACTCCGTCAGCTCACTGGTCTGGCATATAATTAGCAGCCTCCTTCTAGTCAAAAAGGAAGAAATTAATCCCACAACTTCTTTCAACGAACCCTGAGAGAACCTGGCTGCTGTTGGATGGGGCCCACACACAGTTTGGTTTCAAATTGATCTGCTTCATGTGTTGCTGCTTGAGTTTTGTTTGGGGTCACAGAAAGCAGTCACAATAATTGAGCAGGGTCCCATTCAGCTTCTGTATGTTATTGCCATTCGTTCTGTTTTTGAGCTCACACAGTCAGGTTCAAAGCCCTAGAGTTACAGTAACAGTAAGTGGGAAAGAGGTATTACCTGCTGAAGAACCTGAAAAAAATAAACACGACCCCTGCGTGCACACATGTGTGTGTGTAAACACACATGCACGCACCCACACACACAGAGTAAGAATGGAACTGACATCCCACAGAGCCAGGCCAAGTGAGAGCACCCCGGCTCCACAAACATGAGCCCTGCCCTCCCCTTGCACTCTCTGAGTCAAGGTTCCTCTCTGACGCTGGCAATGCCTTCTAACTTCCTTCTCTTTTCCCCTTTGTTAACTGTCCTTTAGCTGATGCAGACATTCAGTTTGAAATCTTAGCTTTTTTCGTTTGTGTAAGCCAGGGGCCATTTTCCTTCTTGCTCAGCATTTCTTTAACTTTGAACACTCAGGTCTCAAGTAAAAAAGTGTACCCATCCCACATTCATCCCAGTTCCTCCTCTGAGGCTCACAACTCTCATGCGCTCAGCATGAGCATGGCTGAGACTCAGGCTGATAAGAATGGGTGATGCCAAACACTCCAGGGAAGAGCGGGCCGCTCCCGCAGCTCTTCGGAACGGGCTACGCTCATCCTGCTCACAGATAATAAAACCAAGACTGCAGCCACTTGGAGATGTGCCCTACGTCACACGAGGAAGCCAGAATCAGGATTTGAAGAGGGCAGAGTTGGCAGCTATCTGGGGGGCTGCAATCTCAGCACCACTTCTCTCCCAACACCTCCGACTCCTCCCAGCAGGACTTTCCCAGCACCCCTTGGATTAGTGCCCAGCATGTAAAGCAAGCAGTCGGCACTCTTCTGGTTTCCAGCTTTCTCCCCAGTGTGAAAAAGTGTCCAGTGTTACCCGTGACCCCTCTTCTACCATGGACAGAGCTGTGGTCAGGTTTCCCGGGGCTCCTTGCCAGCCTTAGGCTTGTTGTAAAGCTGAGGTTGAAATCAACCCATCTAGCCATGTTCTGTGCTGGAGCTGAAGCCTGTCCACGAGGTCTTCCAGTACCAGTGTACAGAGCCCAGAGTGGAGCTGGTCCTCACCACAGAGGCGGAGAGCTTGCGCCGCAGGAGGGTGTGGCAGGTGAACGTCAGCACGATGGCTATGGTAGACACGATGGGGGCCAGCGCCGAGCTCCCACTTTGAATATATCCAGCTCTTTCCAGCAACTTCCTCTCCCTCTTTCTTATATCTGTAAAATGGAAAGCAATACGAGGTGGTCTTATTTTGCGTGTCAGGCACCAACCCTAAGAAGCACATTGTTCTGCCTGATCCTCATTTGCACAAGGGTTAGTGCTTCCTGTGGTGACGTTTAAGTGTGCAAGAAGCCTGGGGTGCAGACCCCACATGCACGAGGAGCTCAGCGCATATCAGCTGCCAGGACTGGACGCCTCCACGTCCCTTCCAGTCCTGGAACTCAGTGCATCAAGAGTGATGGGCGTAGAGCCCTACAGGGCCCAGATTAGCATCGTAAATGACAAAAGGAGATAGAGAGTGAACCAGAGGGAGTCGTGAAATGTGACAGGACACTCAGGCAGACCTCAGTTCAAGGCCGTGACTGCTGGTGCCAGGCAGCTCACCCACCACACCGTGACTGTTCTGAGGTCTGAGATCTGGGCTTTAGTGAGCCATGGCTTTACTTTTAAATGCTGGGAACCAATTAAAGTTTATAAGTGGGGCCCTTGCCTAGCATCCCAAGAACAGTCACAAAAACTCAAGAGTATCTGTCCCTCTCCCAGGTCTGAAAGGTACCCAGGACTCTGCACAACACAACCGAAATCAAAGCCTCCCTCCCCTGGTTACCAGTCTCGGTCCTAACTTTAGCCCTGTCCCCTGTACAACATTTTCACTGGGTACCCCCTGTACACAGGTGCTTCCCTGACACTGCACAGCGCAGGTTCACAGGTGCCTCTCACCTCTGACCAGGGAGGGGCTGCTACAATGCCCCTAAGCAGGAGAGGACATCCCTTAGCAGGGTAAGGCATTTGCCATAAGTGACCAAGTCAACCTATTTGTACTGCTACCCACATGGCCTTCACTCCCAGAATATCCAGGGGCCCTCACCTTGTGCACCTGCACATATCCACCACTGGCCCTTGCTCTTACTTGGGGGTTTCCCTGGCACCCTGGGCATCCACTTATGAGGCCAGCCACCTCCGCCAGGAAGTCCTTCCTGATATCTTCGACCTGGTGTGTGCCCCCCGAGCCCCATGCAGCTCCTCTCAGCTCCGTGGCACTTTGCACACCCCACTTTTTGGCATAATTAAGCCATGTGTTCAAGCAGCCAACACTGTCAGACTTCTTGTCTACTCTGTGGCAAGTGTGAGTGCTTGGTAATGGAGGGTGTAGGGGTAAACAAACTCAGCCCTCTTCCGGTGGGGGAGACGGACAACAAAGATAACTAAACCATGTGATTCCAAACTGTGATGGGTGACCTGGAAGAAACAACCAGGAAGAGCCGCAGAGAGGCGCTGGTGAGGGTCCGACACATCTGAGACTGTGGCACAGAAGCCTGTTGAGAGCAGTCTACAGTCTAGGCAAAGCCGCCAGGACATCTAGCACAAAAGCGTCCAGGCAGCAGAAAGAGCAAGTACAAAGAGCCTGAGGCATAAAGGCCAGGACAGGAAGTTCTCCAGGCTCGAGGGGAGTTACGGAAGATGAGTTTTGCTGATGAGATCAGAGAGGTTACAAGGGGCCAGGCCATGTTGGACCCAATAGAATACATGAAGGAATCTGAATTTTACTCAAAAAACCTAAATTTGAATAAGTGATAAGAAACTGCTGAGGAACTTCCACAGGACCTAAATGACATTTTAAAAAATCACTCATGCACAGTGGATCTCATGGGCGAAGGAAGGGCAGAGGGACATCTCAACAGTCCTGCCACAATCCCTGAGGGAAGACTGGCTTGGATCAAGGAGGTAATGGGACAGGAAGAGGCAGATGGGTCCCACGTATATTCTGGAATTTAGAGCCAATAAATGTAGGCTATTTTGGAGCTTGGTTTTCTCATCTTCCCTTAATTGCATAAGAAGAAACCCCTTTCCTGATTATTTTCAGGGTCCTGTACTTAGTAGGATGTGGATATGTATCTACTGAATTACACTGATTTGATTTAAACTGAGTTGGTCTGCATTAAGTCGAATGGAGTCAGCCAATCAGGTTGATCCATACTGAAGCGAATGCAGAGTATGGGTAAGTATTTCTGCATCCTCAGAGGTTGAAGTCCTAGGCTGTGGCCATCCCTGCTGGAGTGCTTCCTGTAGCGAACTGAGAGGCAGGTTTCCTACAGCTGCTCCTCCCTGCAGTGCAGACCCACAGCTTTAAACCACCCCCCGCCCCGACACTGCATACTGGTGCAAAAGTGTAATTGTAGATCCAAAGAGTCAGTTATTACAGTGACTCAGACCATTAATCCGCCAGCCACCTGAGTCCATGTCAGCAATTATGTAAATGTCCCTGCAATTAAGATTTGCATTTATATTTGATGGGAAAGGTTTAATAACACCTTTTAAAAAAGAAAACTACATGCACATCTTCATATCTGCTCAAAGTATGTGGAGTCCATGAGCTTTCAAACATAACAAAGCTGCCACAGACAAGGTGAAGATACCACAGTGTGTGTGTGTGTGTGTGTGTGTGTGTGTGTGTGTGTGTGTATGTGTGCCTGGGCATGTGCATCTTCTAAACCAAGAAAATAGTTGAAGACAGCTCCCTCACTGTTCCCAATATGTTAGTGAATTATTTTTGTGAGGAGCATCCTAATTGGTCAGTTCCAGGATCCCTGTGCCCCAGTAAAAGCAAAACCATATGTCACTCACCCTCGAGTTCATCAGAACAGATGTCAGGGTCTGTTATAAAATCTCCATAATCCTTGGAAATCCTCTGACCTGCAAAGCAGCTCAGGGGTTTCCCTCAGTCTCCTTTGCTATGCTGGCCCTGGGAACCTTAAGAAGCCCTTATAAAAGCACATTCTGCAATGTAAGTGGTTCCCTAAGTAGCTCCTCAACCTACCTTGAATGGTGTTGGTGAAAGATTTCTCCCAGGCGTACATTTTAATCAGCTTGATGCAGGTTAGAAACTCATTCATGGTCTGAACACGCTTGTCTGTCACCGAAATTGCTGACCTTCGGAAGGCTGAATTGCGCTTTGCCATGAACATCTGGAACCAAGGTACAAACATGGTGTTCAGGGAGCGCTGCTGAGCTGTGCTTTGCCTAAAAGTTCCAGGGTTGGAGTACAAGGGCCGGGAACAGTTCTAAGAGAAGCTGCAGCCTTTTCCTTGAGCTGCAGCCACTGGCATGGCCTTGGGGAACCACTAGGGATCTTTAAGGGTGACGCAATGCTGTGGCTCCGAAGGCTCCTGTAAAGCTGGGTGGGGCTCTTCAGAAGTGGCTGGATCTAGGGTGTGTGATGCTGGGATCAAGGTGTGTGATTACTAAATTAGTCCACTGAGTGGACTGGCACAGTTCTAGAATGGAAAACGGGCAGGTGCAAAGTGGGTATAAGTGCTATTCATCAGAAGGGAGGTAGCCTGGTTAAAATCCAAGGAACAGAAAGATGGCTGCTTAAGTCACTTGCCGCTTGCTGCATCACGGGTTTGCTGCCTTCTGCCTGCCTGCCTTACCATAAGCTGTTTCTCCTCTGTGTTGCCCCTCTGCCATGCCACCCTGCCGGCTGATTATGGACTGAAACCTTTATAAACTGGGAGCCAAATAAACCTTTCCTCCTGCAACTTTGGAGGTTGGGTATTTTGTCTCAGCAACACGTAATTAATATATACAATAATTATCAGAATCAAGGGGAGCACCAAAGACTTTAGCAAACTGAAGAAAGCACACCCGTTGGTGAGTGTTTAAAGTTCTTTTAAAAACTACACATTTCTTTTGCCAGCAAAAGCAAGCCAACCTATAAGCCCAAAGTAGGGTGCAGGCTTCAGCTGTAGGCCCAGACGTGAAGTCCCTGTCCACTGACTAAAAGTGCCTGGGATCATGGCAACTACAAAGCAGTTCCAGCAGTAGAGAGGCCTGCCTTACCTGGATGGGGATGAATATGACATACACCGATATTCCGACAAGAGCTGTGGACCCCAGAATGAAAAAGGCATACACCGCACAAACAACCATTAGGATAGGGATAGTAGCCGGCAAGGGACAAAACAAGGCAGCTTCAAACAAGGAATAGCTATCACTTGACAGTATGTTGAGCACCTGGAAAGAAAGCACAGGGGTTTGGGTCGGGAAGGGGTTCTCCTAGACTGAAGGCTTTGCAAATGAATGGGGGCAGCCACCTGAAAGCACCAGCTCAATGAGTCTGCTTGTTCTGGTATGATTTTGGAAAGGTCAGTCTTCTAGGACTGAGATTCCAAAGAAAGGCGAAAGGAATAAGTGTGCCGGCTGGAACACGCTGCAGAGACACTGACAGCTACTGTAAATCTATTTGTTCTTCCTCCTCACTAACACAGCTCTCTTTATTCAGGGCAGTAAGGAGCCCAGCTAAAAGACAGCTTCCTCCTGGCCAAAGCATGACATGGGGCGTGGGGGTGAATTTGTGAGAATCCCTGTTTTCCTCTCCTTCCTCCGCCCCTCTCTGAAACCCAGTGCGGATGGCTGGGTCTCTACCACCACCCAGAGTTACACTGAGACCCAAATTCTAGGACAGGGACAAAGAAACCCCAGCCCTGGCTTGTACTCTGACAGACTCCTTTTACATCAAGTGAAATCAATTCATTCTGTTTAACCCACTGATGTTTGGGATTTTCTATTTTGGGGGGCCTATGTGGAATCTAATCATAATTGATATTGGATGCTCTGAACGAGCAACTATAAGACAGAAGCAAGTCTTTCTTAATGTGCACCACCTGGAGTTCCCTTGATTAGGGAAATTTCCTTGAATAAGCAGCAAGGATTTTATTGCTGAGGATTAAGGGCTTACGAAAATGTCAACCGGGAAGCATAAGGCATGGTTTTATTTATTATGGCTTTGGCAGCCCACATGATACACAGTTGGAGTTACTGGATCCTCTTGCCCATCCACTTTATTAAATATCCACAGAGTCTCTGTTCTTCCTCAGTTTCCTCCCTAACAGTCAAAGGGATTCATGGAAGTCCCTACCGAGCACCATCCTGTCTGCCCCAGATTCTCCGGCTCCAGTGGGGTCGACCTTTCTCCGAATTCCTCCCACGTTTTCACGTAGAAGAGATAGGCCATCTGGGCAGGACACAGACCATCAAGGGGGAGGAGGTGCCCTGTCCAAACCACACCTTGCACAGACTCAGACACCTCCTATGTCCACCAGCTTCCTAAAGTTAGTCTTTGGGACCAGGTTACCTCGCCAACTGAAATGTGTGTCAGCGTCTTGAAGGACACCAGGTTCTCGAAAACCAGGGTGGAGAGAGCCACTTTCAGCCGGATCGCCGTGCGGTAGTTGATGGCCCAGGCCAGGGCCCAAAAGAGGACTTTGGTGAACTCAGTGGCAAAGAGGGCTACGCACAGGCTGATGCCAACCCAGAATTTCCCAGAAGCTTTCTCAGTGTGCTGGAGGATTTGGTGAATGAGAACTGTCTGTAAAACAGTGCATTGGAGAGAGGAGAAGGCCGCTGGGGTGGAGGATGGTGAGGGAGGCCTCAGATAAAGTCAGCAACTGACTTTATGAGGCAAACTTTTTAATTAACTTCAGTGCTTGCTGTTGTGCTCAGCAAGGATTCACTTTATGAAAATTCACCCCCAAGGAGCACAAGGATAATGACAATGTACTAAACTCACCAGCTTGTAGAGAAAGTAACTGATGACTACTCTGCCCAGCTGGGGATGTGGGAGACAAAAGGGAAGAGGATGCCCCGCTCACCGGCCCTATAGCTGCCATGATTATGCACAAGATGTTGGCCACAACGTCCATCAAAACCCGAGTCCTCTGGAATTTCCAGGCTACATGGCCCAGGGAGGCCTTCTCAGGACCCACCTTTTCCACCTCTTCGTCCCAAAGTATTCGAAACCTATTATGAAAGACAGGAAGATGACACAGGACTGACGTCTCTGCTTGCTGTTTGAAGCCATGCACGTGTCAAAGCCCATGCAAGGGCTCTGTGCAACCCTCCTGTGAGTCATGGGTGCCATCAGACAGGCGCATTTGTTCTTTCTTCTCTTCCTGGGTAGGTGGGACCCAGGAGGGGCTGGCAGCGATGCCCAGACTCTCAGCCCCTTTCCAGGCCATCATTTCCCTGCCTCCTGGCCACATCACCCACTCTGATAAGAACACAGGGCTGAGAAGTCCAGAGAAAATTCTTCTCCAGGCGGAAAAGATGGTCAGCATCCAAGGGTCACAAGGAGGCCAGTGCAGCAGGAGTACACCGTGAAGGAGAGGGGCCCATGAGGTGCTCCAGGCCAGGCTGAGCCCAGTCTCAGGGCCTCAAGGGCCTCAGGAAGAGTTTAGAGTGCAGTCCAAGTGCAGGGGAAGCCTTTGTAGGCTTTCAATCAAAGCACTGTGGATCTCTGCCAGGTCACTTGACTGCTATGACTATAATGGATTGGAGAGCAAAGGCAAAAGCATGGAACCCCAAGAGGGAGTGGTTCACCTCCAGCTGAAAGGCAGCAGTGGTGAGGCAGATGGGGCAGTAGGTTCAAGGAAAGGTGGTCATGGAGGGACAAAGAATACCTGCCAGTGAATAAGATGTGGGGAGAAGGGAGAAAGGATCAGAGCAGATCCCAACTTCCTGGCTTTTCAGGAATGGAAAAAGAAGGGGAAAATATTATCAGATCTGACCCAACGACCAATATGTCAGCATGTGTGAGGCCCTGTGATGAATCCTCAGCACCCAGTGTGTGTGTGTGTGTGTGTGTGTGTGTGTGTGTGTGTGTGTGTGTGTGGTGTTAGGTACAGATAAGCATCTAAGAAGCATCCAAATGCAGCTGTCCAGTCTGGTGCAGGACAGGTGGACTCAATAGCTGGAAGAGAGGCCAGGGCTGGAGATAGCATGCAGAGCCTGTGTATGTTGGGGTTTGAGCCTTGGCGTGGATGAGATGCCCCAGGAGCAGAGCAGAGCATAGGCCAGGAGAGCAGCAGATCTAAGTGATATTATGTAGAGGGAAGGAAGCAATAAAAATGATGAAGAATGGGCAAAGAGGAAAAAGAAGATTCGATATTCCATGGGTACTGACAGCCCCTTTCCCTCAGTGTTCCTCACAGGGGTCAGCTAAGACTTCTTCCGGGAAAAGAAGCACAATTCTACAAGCAATTGCAAGGTGACCGCTGGTCCTCGCAGCCCTGTAATTAAAGAGTCTGGGAAGTGTGCTGTATCGTATTTTACCCCTTGTGACCAAAGATGGGGTGGTTTCCAGGAGAAACAAGCTCAGGTGGCCATGAAAGCTATGCCTGCGTAAAACCCAGGTCACCAGAACCACAGCATTCAATGCAGGCACTGGAAGGAACAAAGTCAATGTCCTGGTGTGGACACAGATGAGTCTATAAACTTTCAGCCAAAGAGAGCCAAGGGGTCAGTGACTATATAGTACGTTGCATTTTTTTTCTCTTTAAATGTGTAAAGCGTAACTTGTGAGTGGGGAGGATGGAGATGAGAACTTGCTCTGTAGAAGACGGTAGCACTGGCTCTGTTTAATCCATGCAGAAAATGATGGGCAGGGCTCTGTCAACATTTTATCTATGTGTAGCTTCTAGGGAGGAGAATAAGTACATGGCAGAGAAATTGTCACTGCTCAAATTCTGTTTCTTTAGCATTTCATAATGGATGTGAATTTGGTTGGACCAGTGACATTCACATTTTTACAAGTCAGAAAGGCAAATGTAAGCAGTTGCATTTGGCTCAGCCTAACTACTCTGTACAACAACCATCTAAGAACAATTTTTATAATGCAACAAACCCAATGCAAAGAGCTGCAAGCTTCAGTCCATCAGGGTGTCAACCAGCAGAGTACAAAGTGTCTTTCCAGCCACTTCCACCCTGAAACACCGTTCCCACAAACCCACCAAGGGGCCCAGCGCTTCTAACCAGCCCTCCGTCCACACCAGCTCTGGCCAGGCCTCTCCTCCCCAGAGACTGCACCATGATGTACAGGCAGGCCAGCCCTTCTCGGGAGCAGTCCTAAGAAGGGCTACCAGCACCCCCAGATGTCCAGTCCCACACAGGGGACATGGACACACACCACACGGCTCATGGGACCCTTCCCCAGGTGAACTCTTCTCCCCAGGGGACCCAAGCAAATCGTGGTACCTTTTGGCGTTGATGTCCGAGGAGTCGTAGGGAGACATCGGCGGCAGACTGGCCCCAGTCAGTGTGCTCCTGTAGCTACTCACCATTACCGGTGTGAGCCATGAGAAGGTGGCGAAGGAGAGCAGCCCCGCGTCATCCACTGGGTTGGGTGCCAGCCTGCGGACACGCGAGATGTGCAGTATGCCCAGGTCACCAGAAGTCACTGCCCTGACCACCTGGCTTGCACTTGTAACCACACTCCTTAGCCCTCAAGCACCATGCACTGGGACCAGCTTATCCCAGCTGATCTCCTTTTTCAGGAACTTTGCAAGTTAGTGCTTAAACTCAGCCAGTATTCAAAACTCAGTTACAGAAATTGACATAAATGATCTTAAAGACAAAGTAATCATATTCAAAACTTGGTACTTCTCAATTACTTTACTATTATCTATTCTATTGAGATTATTTACATCCATCACCTGTACCGTATAAATACCATGATTGGTGAACTACTGTGCCTCTCTTCCCAACTTCACATCCTGAAGTATGGTGGGACCCTTACATCACACAAGCTGACAAATGCTACAAACCAGTGGAGTTTTCAATGACCCAGTCGCTGATCATTTACCAGTATTTGACCATCTCACAGGAAGAGCTGCACCGGTGGAAAATCAGCAGGGTTGAGTGGACATCTCTTCCCCCAGGAAGGGGAAAGGCCAAGCAGGGTGCACTGCCGCTGGGTCAGCCAAGGGCACAGGAGCCAGCGCTGAACCCAGGGCTGAGTGCGTTAGTACGTGTATCAGCCATCTGGTAAAGGAGAAGATGCAGAAAGCAAAAGGGTGGGGGAAAGAGGAAGGGAAGAAGAAAAGGACCAAGGGAGCCAGAGGAGGAGGAAGAAAGGAAAGGAGAGGAGGGTGCAAGAGGGAAGATGAAGAGGGAAGAGGAAGAAAAAGGAAGAGGAAAGAGGCAAAGGAAATGAAGAAGAAAACACCACATTTTGTCCCTGAGGAATGAGCCATCCAAGCCAGGACAGATGTGGGAAACAGAGAATCATGCATGAGACACTGAGCATTCCTGTGTCCCACAGGTGAGAGCTTTGCGCCAGTGGCATACTCGGGAGGAGTCCTTGTTTCTGCCTCCCAGCTGGGAAGGGCAGCTACACGCGAGTTCTTGTGGCAGCGTCCCTGCAAATGTACATTGTGCCGCTTCTTACCAACTGTTCCACAGCTTTCTCAAGGGTCTGAGTACAGCCTGCAACTGCAGGGGTTCAGGGGAACCCCACCCAGCGGCGTGCAGAAGCCATGGACACTCACGGCACACACACTTTGGGTAGAAACCTGGACGCTCTGGGGAGGACCTGGCAGAGTCCAGTTCCCCTTCCCGCAGCAGCCACGCTGTCTTTTCCTCTCCCTCTGCCTAAGTGCCTTGAATCCCCTCCCTGCCCCACCTCACCTTCCAAATGAGCTGCCTGCGTCCAAGTTTTCGGCTCAGACTGGGACTCCTGAAAGAACCCAAGCTACAACAGGACTAATGAGATACTGTGCACCCACCCTGTGCAATCCATCGAGCAGTTACAAACTGGGCGGAAGCAGTGGGTGGTCAGAGCTCCCTTGCAGCAGAGGAGAGCAGTCCACAGCCTTCCGACCTCCACCTCGCACCTTAAAAAGCTCACATGTATGTATCTTTGGCCCATAGGAGCTGGCAGTATCACCTCTCCATAGAGATGCCACTAGACCTTCTGGTGCTCAGAGAACATGCTGTGGGTTTCCTCCTAGTTTTGTGTTAAATGGTACTGTAATGCCGAGCATGTGAGGCTCGGGCGGCAGGCTGCCTGAGTCCTATCCTGGAGCTCAAAGACGACTGTGTTCACTCCCCCATCTGCACCCCGAGGCCCTGAGAACATTCTCTCACAGTTCATTCCATCAAGAGGCAGAGCCTCTTCCTCTCACCCTGAATTTGGCTACTGCAACCCACTCTGGCCAGTAGGACTCTGTGGGAAGTAACTGCATTCCTGCTCTGAGCCCATGTCTCTGGAAGCCTTGCATGCCTCTGTTTGTTCTCCAGGAAGCCCAGCACACTGCTCTGTGGCCAAGTCCAACCTGGACTACTGGACACTGAGGTGGTCCCCATTCCCCCGGTCCACAGCAGCTGACTCAGGCACACAGCCCCCTTGAGTGACCCTGGTCAAGGCCAGGAGAGGTTACTCTGTTTCGTGGGTCTCCATAGAGTCATAAGCTAAGTAAGTGGCAATTATTTTAAGCCACTAATGGTTGATGCCATTCATTAAAGAGTGAACACAACCTGGTAAATTTTAAGCATGCTGCACAACTGCCTGCTGCCTCAGTTTCCTCTTCTATCAGATAAAAATAACAGTGCCCAAGGGGGCTGTAAAGTACGCACACAGATCCTGACATGTTAGCTATTGTCACCCTCTCCCAAAGACAGGAAGAGGCAAGAAGTGAGTAGTGTACACATGAGGGGGGTGGATGAATGGATAAACAAAAGGGACAGACAAAGAGCAGCAGGCGGAGCAGAGGAAGCGGCCACCTCTCCCCTGGACACATTCCCGAATGTCCTGCCTCCTCCAGCCTTGCTCCAGACTCACCTTGCATAGGGCCGCACTGGGATCATGGTTTTGAGACTGGGGTCATATCTTTCCGTAAAGGACCTCCGCTGACCTCGCCGGTCCAGATCCGAGATAAGGTAAGGGCCTTCACCCACCATCCTGATGGCACTCAGGAGCCCCTGGCTCTTGGCTGAGGATGGCTCTCACTCTGTGGCAGATGGAGAGATTCACTGAGAAATGGAGACATTGGGAGTGGAGTTGGTCCGCTCCACCGCAACTATGCCCTTGCTTTGACTTCCCTGCAGGCCAGATCTCCCCTTAGCCATCTGCATGTATGCGGAAGCACACCCCACCTCCATTTGGAAACCACTTTCTGGTAAGGTCATGTTGTTCTTCCTCATCTCCTACATGGGGCTGGCTGAGAGCAGAAACAGCCCATTGTGTGTTTTCTCTTGGTACCGAGCCCATGGTCAAGGCTGAATCCTAGTCTACCAAGAGAGTCTCGTAGAAAATCTGAGTCTCTTAGTGTAACACAGAGTACAGTTTGTCACACATTTGTCCTTTATTCCCTCAGGTTCCCTCCAGGAACCTAAATCCCCTCCATGTCTTTACTCCATGGTCAGAGACCTGTAGCAAAGCCACCACTCAGAGAAAGAAATTATAAAATATGAGAGCAGAAACTAATAAAAAAAAAAAAAAGGGAAAGAGACATCTGGGAAGATGGTGGAGTTCTGAACAGCAGAGAAAGAGCCTCTTCAAGATTTAGTGTCCAGACAGTGGAATATTGCAATGCAAGGGAGGGGGATAGTCCCTGGGCTCCAAAGGATCTGAAGAGAGAACTGAAGCCCGCAGGGAGAGTGAAGAGAGACTTCAGCAGAGAAGAAGGAGGTGACCAGCCGCACTTTCTCCTTGAGCCTGGATGGGAGGGGTGGCTCAGACCTGTAACACACCATGACTACTGGTGGCCTCAGAGGCCTCCATGGAGGGCCAGTGCAATAGTGCAGTGAATGCAGCAAGCGGCAGTGGCCGGTGAGTTATTTGGGTTCTGACATCCTCCAGAGAGGACAATGGGCCAGTAGCCATCTTGGAGAGGGGCCAACTGAGCTCGGAACTCAGAACAGCCATTGCATGGCTCTATCTAGTAGCTGTCAGTGACAGGTCAGGCTGCTGAGTTTAGGTCAGCAGGAGGTCAGGGAGCCATGTTCGTGCTAGAAGGAGGGACAAGGAGTATTCTGGGCAGAATAAAGCAGATGCCAAACTCACAAACAGAAACTAACCTGGCCATCACCAGGGCTGAAGGTGCAGGTGTGCAGGGATTGTCCAACACCTGCCATAAAGCAATGCCTGGCCTCCTGGGATTAATCATCTCAGACCTGGACTGCGGCTGCCCACACTGTCTACCAGTGACAGCAGACACATGCTTCGAAGTGGGCTATTTTTTTCTTATTTTCTTTCTCTTCCTTTTTTTCCCCCAATTGTCTGGGTTTTTTGTTTGTTTTGGTTTTTCTTGATCTTGTTTTTATATGAGTGTGAACATGGTTTCTACTTCTTTTATTGTTGTTGTTCTGCTCTGTCCTGTTCTTCCTTTTATTTCTTCTTTCTCCCTTGCCCTCCTGTCTTCTTCACCAGTTTCCTAAAGTTCCTTCTTTAGTCCTCCAGCCTTGCTTCTTATTCCCTCATCCTCGTCTTCTGCCCCTGCTTCTTCTATTTCTCTATTTTCCCCAGTCCCCTTTGTATTTTCTTCCTTAAGGGTAAAATTGCCATGGTGAGGGTTTATTTACTATATACAATTTTCTGGTTCAGTTTAGATTTTATTATATAACCACAAATCTGGTTCATATGGCTAAAGGTGACAAATTAATAGTTACCTCAGTTTGTCATTTTCTAGGCTTTGTTTGATGCTACTGTTACTGTTGATCATATTACTTTAGCTAAGGTGACATAATTGCTCTACTCGGTTGTTCTTCCTGGTATAAGACTGAAATTGCCTAAGGCTCATAAGTAATACAATAGGCCAGTGCCAAAGAACCAGGGGCTGGGCCAAGTAGGCAGCAACTCTCATCAACAATAAACTGAAGAGGTGATTTCTAGCCAGGCACACCTGGAAGACATCCCTGAGAAGTAGTCATTTCCTCAAGGTTCTGAATACTAACAATAAAGCTTCTTACCTTAAGCAACTTACAAGCATCAACCTTGGAATTAAACTTTAAAAAAAAGAAAATGAGAAGACCCTTAAACAAGATGAAACCTCGGACTTCCAGTTTATTACAGGCAAGCCCAGTAGGCAAGGAGGTAGAACTGTTTGAAAGCCATGCACCTGGACTCTCTGAAGTGGTAACAACAGAAATAACAAAGCAGAGGAATGAGGCTCTTAGAGAAATCAAATCAGGAATAATTTCTCATATAAGTACATAGATGGTGACCGTGAAGACATACTTAGTGACTCCAGAGCAGATACTGATAAAGAAAAACAAGCTTAGGAAAATGATGGAAACTGTGAATTCCCAACATAGGAGAGAAATGGGATTCATGAAAGAGATTCACACACACACATCCAGTAGAATAAAAATCCCACTGAAAGTACCTGCAGATGAATGTGCCAATGTGAGGACAGAAACTCAGATGTAAAAGGCAGGATGTGCTTAGAAATCGTGAAAAGAAAGATTTCTTAAAAATAGCAAGAGAGGGCTGGGGATTTAGCTCAGTGGCATAAGTGCCTGCCTTGCAAGCAGGCAGTCATGAGTTTGATCCTTGGTACTGATAAAAAGACAAAAAAAAAAAATAGCAAGAGACCACTAGAAATTAATCCAACACCTCCTAGATGATGCAAAAAAGAATAACATAAAATTGATCGAGTCAATGAAAAATCAGGAGATCGAGCAAATGACATTAAAAACCTGTTTGCAGAAATCATGGCAGAAAACTTCCCACACAGAGAAAAAGAATTTGACACACAGATAAGTGAGTTATATAGAACTCCAGTAGCCATGATCAAAAAATCTATATCAAGGCATATAATTCTGAGGACACCAGAAATTCAATATGGAATATTTAAACCTATTAGAGGAAATAATAAAATCATCTATAAAGGAAAACCTATCAGAATCACAGCAGACTTCTAAACACAAACCCTCAAGTCAAGGCAAACTTGGAGTGAAGAATTTTAAGCCCTAAAAAAAATCAACCTTCAACCCAGATTGCTGTACCCCACAAAATTTTCTTTCAAAACTGAGAGGAAAATAAGGTATTTCCATGACAGAAAACGTGAGGAAATTTATGACCACTGAATCAGGACTTTAAAATATTCTCAAGGCATTTCAGAAATAGAAAACAAGGATTACAACTCCACACACCACAACAGAATGAATCTACCAGGCAAGGCAAGAAATTAAAAAGAGGAAGAAAAAAGGAGCCAACAATAGGAAAATGACATGCCAAGGATAAGTCAATACACATTAGTTAACATCATCAGTGCTAATGGTCTTAATTCACCAGTCAGAACAGACTGGCAGAATGAATGGATCAAGAAGCAAGATCCAGCTGAGTGTGGTGGCATGTGCCCATAATGCCAGCACCGAGAAGCTGGGACAGAAGCACTATTGTGAGCTCAAGGACAGCCTGGGCTACAAAGTCAGTTCAAGGCCCACCTGAACTACATAGGAAACTCTATCTCAAAACGAAAAAGGAGGAGGAGGAGGAGAAAGAGGAGGATTCAACAATATGCTGAATATAAGAAACACATTTACTTAAAAACAAATTCATAGACCAAAAGGCAAAGGGTGGAAAACAATACTCCACGTGACAGGACCCTGGAATGAAAGCAGGGGTAGCTATTCTATTTGTAGACAAAGATTTCAAGCCAATGCTGATTAAGAGAGACAAAGAAGATCACTCCATCCTGGAAAAGGGAACAATCCAAGAGGAAGACATAATACTTGTTAACATATATCCACCAAATACCAGCGCACCCAACTATATAAAACAAATATTAACAAACATGAAAAATCAAGTAAGCACTAATACAGTTGTATTGGGGGGATCTCAATACCTCACTCTCACAAGTAGATGACCATCTAAAAAAAAAACAACAACAATGAAGCATCAGAACTGAAGCAAACATTTGAACAAATGGACTTAGTAGATGTCTACAGAGTATTCTGCCCCATAACATTAGAACACATATTCTTTTCAGTGGGACATGGGACATTTTCCAAAATAGAACACACATTACCTCATACACTATACTTAAGTAAATGCAAAAGAATTAAAATTATCCCATGAATATTATCAGACCAGCTATTCCCCTTTTTGTTATCTTGTTGAAAAATTAAAAGCATCATATCATGATAATATATGCACAGTCATAGTTACAGTAGCACAGTTTGTAATAGCTAAATCTTTGTGTCTTAGTTACTTTTATTTTGCTGCTGGGACAAAATACCCAACATCCAAAATGAAGGAAAGAAAGGTTTATTTAGCTCACCGTTTGTGGAGGTTTCAGTCCATAATCAGCTGGCCGGGCAGCATGGCACAGGGACAACACTTTTATGCAGCAGCCAGCAAAAGCAGCCAGAGCAAAAGAGGGAAGAACATTTCTCCTACCTTATATTGCATACAGGCTACCCACACCCAGTGTAGCACTCACAAAATCTCTGTGCCTTCCTCTTTCACAGAATAAGGATATTTACAAAGTAAGGATCCTAGCTCCCTGCTGAGCCTCTTAATTAAATTTCTCAACTTCTCAAATTGATACAATGTATCAACCATAACACTTGGAAACAACCCAAATGTCCATCAACTGATGAATGCATAAAAAGATGTGTTTTTTTGTATAGTAGAGCATATTCTTAAGTGAAATAAATTAGACACACATGTTCAAATCTCACATGTTCTAGTGTGAAAAATGGAAAGTGTAAATAAGAACCAATATATATAATAAATATTGAGAAATGAGAAGAAACTGTTCAAATGAGAAGGGGAATGGGGTTGGGGGCAGAAGGATAAGAAAAAAGAATAGAAGGAATAAATGGAAATAAAACTTTTGTCAGAAAAAGAGGGAAAGGGGCTGAATGGGGAGGAAAGGGAATGGGAAAAAAGAAACAAGATATATCATGTATGGGTACAAATTCCATATGATAAATGTTACCATTATGTATATGTAAACTGTACCAATAAAATAAAAAGAAATGAATAAATAAAAATAAAAAGGAAAGAATCCATAAATGGAAGAGCTGGTTCTTTGAAAATCATCAGTAACTATTTTAAAATCTATATGATAATAAAATGGAAAATTCTGAAGAAATGGGTATATATGAACTACTAAAGCTGAACCAAGAAGATATAAAAATTCTGAATAATGCAGTATCAGACAGTGAAATTAAAGAATATAAAAACTACCAACTAAGGAAAGTCCAGGCTCCAATGGACTCATTACCAAATGTTACAGGAATTTCAGAGATCTAGTGCCAACATTCCTCAAACTCTTCAATGAAACAGAAGCAGTCCTCCCACAGCCATTCTTGGGAGCAACAATTACCCTGATTCTAAAACCAGAAAAACACCCAACCAAGGAAGAGAATTACAGGCCAATCTTTTTAATGATAATCATCTTTAACAAAGATGTTAAAATCCTCCATAAGATACTGGCAAACAGAATACATCAAATCATCAAAAAGACCATCTATCATGACCAAGTAGGATTCATTCCAGGGAGGCAGCAATGGCTCAACATATGCAAATCAATAAATGCAATACACCACATAAACAGAACCAAGGACAGAAGTCACATCATCTCAATAGATGCAAAAAAAAGTATCTCAATTGACATTCCTGTTTTAAAAAAAAGTTTTTTGAACCCTGAATAAATTTGGACTAGACGATCTTTATCTCAACCTCATGACTTGTGTCTCAATGTCCCCTGAGGCTCATGCACTCATAGGTGAAGCTTTTCAGAGGTAGCTGGATCTAGGGTGTGTAATAACGGATTAAAGACTCCATTGATTGGTTCAGTGTAGTAGTGGATGTGGCTAATGGGAAGGCTCACCCTGGGTGTTCGTGGCCCCAGCCAATAAACTTGTAGTCTGGATGAAATGAAAGTCCAAATACTCGCCTCCTTGCTGCCTCCTACTTTCTCTGCAATGGACTGTTTCTCCTAGGTGATGCCCCCATGCCACCCTGCCTTGGAGCCAATCAGCTGTAACCTTAACCTCCATAAAATGTGAGCGAAAATAAACATTCCCTCCTTCAATTTGTGGGTGTTAGATATTTTGTCCCAGCAATGAGAAAGTAACTAAGATACTATCTATGACAAACCAATGGCCAATATCATAGTTTAGGGAGAAGATGAAACTTTCACTTGAAAGTCAGGAACAACATAAGGATGTCTGCTGTCACCACTCCTTTCAATGTGGTTCCCAAAACATTAGCTAGAGCAATTAAACAAGTGGAAAAAATAAAAAGGATGCTGATAGGAAAAGGAGACATTAAGTCACCATTATTTGCAGATGACATAATCCTCTATATAAAGACCTTAAAAACTCCACCAAAAGATTCTTGCAGTCTTTTAATCAAATAAGTAGCAGAGCAGGATACAAAGTCAACACTCAAAAATTAAGTGTTTCCTATACACCAATACCAAACTCACCAAGGGAGAAATTAGGGAGATAATTCCTTTCATGATGCCATAAAAAAAGTGAAATACAGGGGTGGGCATTTAGCTCAGTGGCATAAGCATTTGCCTTGCAAGCGCCTGGCTGTGAGTTCGATCCCTGGTACAAAAAAAAGAGAAATACTTAGGAATTAACCTAACGAAGGAAATGAAAGCCTTCATAAGGAGTTGTGGGCCACATGAGAACCAAGAAGCCAACCCTCTCTCATGAGCTAGGAGAAGCCACGCAGGCCAGTAGAAGAACAAAGAAGCCAATCCCTTCCTGTGATCCAGGGACAGTCATGGGCCGAGAAGAGAACCAAGAAGCTGATCCCGTCCTATGAGCCAGCTGGCGCATGGGCTGAGAGACAAGAAGAACCAAGCCTCCTTCCTGCAGAGTAAGCAACCACCTGATTCAGAGGAACACAGGCTGAGGCGATACCTACTGAAGTAAAAAGACTTGTATTGTGTGATCAGCTTTGCAGTCCAGAGTCTGAGCACTTATTGAGAGAATAATAATATGCAGTGTAGCAACTGTGGAGGATTTCCTTTTGTCCTTAGTTTTGAAATCTAATATTGTTTTCATTGTTGGGTTTGGACCCATTTTATTGTTTTGTTTTATTCCCTTTAAAATTAAAAAAAAGTATAAAAAAGACTTTACCAAAAAAACTATAGTACTCTGAGAAAGGAAATTGAAGAGAATATCAGAAGATGGAAAGAATCCCCTATTGCTGGGTACATGTGATTGCTTTCATTGCAGAACGGTATTAGAAATCAAGGTCTTGGCACTCTTTTCCCCTTTGTTTCTCCGTGTGTGTGTGTGTGTGTGTGTGTGTGTGTGTGTGTGTGTGTGTGTATGTGTGTGTGTGTGTTGATAGCTATTTGTACACATGGCTATGAATATTTCTATATGCAACCATCTGCATTTATTTTAAGCAAAGCACAAATTCACACTGATTCTCTGACTTTAATCATTTCCATGATTATCATAATTGTAGCTTCCTCTTCCTGCTTATCTGTAAACCCCAGTTCTAAAAGAGAAAAAACTGGCTCCCCCCATGTACCTCCCTTTTACTTGATTGTTCAATTAAGTATATATGTACAGCAGCATCAGAATTGTCAGTCCTAATGCCACAAGAAACATCTTAACCAACCAGAATACAAGGTTTCCAAGAGTAATATGGGGAAAAGTGACTTTCCACTGGAGACGCCTTGGCCAGGGACCATGCTCAGTTGCAGCAGCCATGCATGGTGTAAGCATTGAGTGCCTTCAGTGGATGTGATGACAGTTGTGGTTTGTTCCTGCTGCCTTTCTCCCTAAGACCCCAAGTCCCAGTTTAATCACGAGAAACCCACAGGGCAAATCCAGATGAAGGGACATTTTACAAAATACCTGATCACTGCTCCCCAAAGCTGTCAAGGTCTGGCCGGGGTTGTGGCTCTGTGTTCAAGCATGGGCTTAGCATCTGCAAGGTCCTAGGCACAAACAAAACCAAGCCAGCAAGGTTATTGAAAACAGAGAAAGTAACACAACCAAGAGGAGCCTGAGAAGACATAGCAACTACTGTGAATGTAAAGTGGTGTCTTGGATGAGATTTTGAGACAAAGAACATTAGGTAAAAACTAGGGAAACATAAAACATGAACGTAAGTGTTAATGTATTAGTATTTGCTATGAACTACACAAGGATGCAAGAGGTGAATAGTAAGGGAAACTGGATGGGGTGAAGGGGGCCCACTACCATCTTCACAGTTTTTCTGTGAATCTAAAACTATCCTTTAAAAAATAAGGTTTATTTTAAAGAAATGAGTGTAAAAGATCCATGCTATGCTCCAGGTGATGGTTACTGCTGAACCTCCCATGTTCTATAATATTTAGCCACCATTTTGAGAAAGTGAACCCTGCCATGAGGCTGCCCGTGGTCAGTAATTACCAACTCATGCCGACAAATTGTGCTGCATTCTGAGGCCAGAGAGCTGAGTAGGGTCTGGAGGAGGCAGGGTCAAGAAGAGCTTCTAGGAAGTGATATAACCGCTGGGCAGCGGAGCAGTGTGGAGAGGAGGGGAGGTTTTGAGAGGAAGCCCAAAGCGAGACACTGGCTGTGGCTGTGGGCCGTGCAGTGTCCCATGATGTAGGATCCACGTGGGGACTCCTTGGTAGGAGAGTTGACAAATAAAACAGGGAACAGAATGAAGGGGTTCAGGTTTGCTCTTACATACATGAGGGTAGTCTGGTCCGCTGGCCCTCCAGTAGGCCCAGCCCTGGACAAAGGTCCCCTGGACAGCCTCCCCACCAGACACACACTTGTCTGTGTATCAGAAAGTGCATAGCTTCCCTACCCGAAGCACCATGCCCTGGGCCGTGCTGAGTTTGCTTCAGGGAGACCTGGATGGCTGCTGGCCACCATGGGGCTGCTTGGCTGACAACAGTAAAGATGCAGGGAGAGGCCTGTGGCTCTACCCAGAGAGGTGGGGAGAAACCCGAGCAGCGCACAACCTCGAGCACAGTCTTGCTGCCCTATCCTCGCCCTCACTGTCCCCACAGTGCGGGTGCCACCGGCCGGGACCAGCTGCCCAGCTTGCCACAGTGACCAGCATAGAGCAGAGCCAGAGAGCCGGACAGCAGATGAGTGAAGACAGAGAGCTCACAGGTTCTGAAACCCACTCAAGATGGCTCTGGGGAGAGAAATTCAGTGAATCCAAGAATTTAAAGAACCTGTGAAGACCTCAGATCTGGCAGATGCAGTGTCTTGTGTACATGGGGGATTTCCCTCTGGCCGATCCAATCAAACCCCAAGCTGCCCGGAAGCTAGTTTGAGCCAGGACCCCAGTCCCTCTTTGGATGAGCCCCGAGAGCATCCCAAGGCAGTGCCACCAAGAAGGACAAAGCAAGAACAAACATCCCCAGTGAAAGGAAGCTAAAGAGTCCAGGCAGGCAAAAAAGCAGTACAGTCCTGGAGGAGATGCTGGGTCAGAAAAGGAAAACCAAGAACGCCGGACAACTGGAGAAGGAATCTGAACTGCACATGGTGCAGCAGCGCTGTGTCAAAGCTCAGCTTCCTGACGTTGACAGCTGTGTCATTTGATAGTTATGGGGAATTCATTCTGAAGTATTTAGGGTTAATGGAACAAAATATCTGCAGGCGACTTCCAATGCTTCCAAAAAATAATACTAGCACACAGAGAGAGAATAGTAAGCAAAGGTGGCAAAATGTGAGTCTGAAAATCTCAGTCAAGGGTAGTAGAACGTCTTTGCATTATTCTTCCTACTTTTTTATAGGTTCAAAATCAGTTCAAAAAAAAATAATTTTAAGGCTGGGGATTTAGCTCAGCGGCGTAAGTGCCTACCTTGCAAGCACATGGTTGTGAGTTCGATCCCCGGTACTGATTTTTAAAAAAGTGCTTTTTAGGCAAATTCTCCCAAAGGGAAGGAAATTTTCCCATGTCTGGAACTGAGTGTAACTGCTCCCACAACCTCTGCTCTAGTCTCAGGGCCACACAGAGCACTCCAGTGCCCTCTGGTCCTTCCCTCACCAGGTCACCCAGGTGCTCCCCTCTGTGGGATGCACTTGGCCCCTGACGCTGGTCCGCCTGGGGGGACATGTCATCAGTGAAGAACCCTCACCCACCACTTCTGTTTTCTTGCTCACTTCTTACTGGCACAGAGTCCTGGCAGCAGCTTGGCTAGGGGAGTTTTGGGGCCAAGATGCACCCCAGGTCCTCCTCTGTGGCCAGATTTGGGTAACCCGTATGTGCAGGAAATTGGGGCTTGAATGTCATTTCCTTGAGCACTCCACAGGGATTGCAGCCTGGATTCTCTGAGATGGCTTGGAAGCTTGGCAGCTGGAATGGCACTTTGCTAAATTTGGCAGCCCCTGGGGAGGAAATGCGACTTTCTCCATCAGGAAGTCTGCTTTGGCTAACGTCTCCATCCCGTCTGTCGTGCCGTTCTCTGCCAGGGCCCAGGAGCCGCCTGTAGTGCAGAATCTGTTTGCCTGCAGTTGGGGAAGAGAGGGCAGCTGAAGAGCACTGGGAGAGCCGGCACCTGCCAGGCCGCAGTAACTGCAGCCATCACGATGCTGTCTTTGGTGTGGCTCTTGCAGCTCTGAGAATCTGAGGACTGGCAGGGGAGGACGAGGAGTTTGTGGTGCCCCTTGTGGCTTGCAGGCAGGCTTCCTCACTAACACAGGGCAGGCAGGGGCTGGAAGGCCTCATGGGGCAGAGGGCACAAACCAATGGGCCAGCGACCATACACAATGTATAGGTCCGTTTAGACGGCCTGCAGAGTTCACACTTTCTTCAGTCTGTGGAGAACATTCAATAATGAAGAGGAATCACATTTTTTAAAGGCATCAGACATTTGCTGGGAGTTCAGCTCTGCACATGCAAGTGACTTATTCAGCTCCTGCTCCGCTGCCGTGGCCAGGGGAGCCAGGGATTCATGCTGCAGGTAGCCGCAGGGCTCGCCGCTCCGCACTGGCCCTGACTCTGGGGCTCAGGATTGCTTTGCGTTTGTCCTCACATTGTATTGTGGTTCCTGTCGCAGACTTGTGTTGTTTCCATCCTTGTCTCTCTCTCTCCAAAGTAGGAGGGCACAGGAAGTCCAAAGGGCATCACAAGGAGAAGCATCGCGCACACCTGGCCTCTGCCCACTTATATTCATCTCTGCTGCTCTGCCCTGAAAATGGGGCATCTTGTGGGGCTGAATTGGACTCCCAGTTTTCATTGGTGCTCGCTTAGGACCTGGTCAATCCAAAGAGCATCCAATCCTTCCAGGTAAGAGACTACGGCTCCTATCCCTCTCTTAATAAATCCGTACACACATGCATACTTTGAAGCTGGAGATTGAGCCCAGGACCTTGCGCATGCTAGACAAACACTCTACCACTGAACCACACTCTCAGTCCCCCCAGTCAATCCATCCTTAACTCGATCAATCAAAATCACCAGTGCCTGATGGTCCCACACCCTCCTGCAACTGCTGCCCACTGGCAAAAGCTGGGAGTTTTCCTCACGCTCTGTCCTGTCTGCCCCTCGTGTCAGAAGGGGAAGAGTTGGGGGAGGGAGGAGGAGTGAGCAGGTGACAGCACACAGCCTGGGGTGCAGAAGGGGTGCCCTGTCCTGTCGTCCCCAGAGGCCCTAACATGGGGGCCATTATGGAAACTCCAAGGAGGGGACCCGCACAAAACAGAGACTGAGAAGATGGGGGCCTCCATTTGAAGTCTGTGAGAACCACACAGGAAGGTTCCATGAATACAAGATCTTTTTGTTTAATAAAACCCAAGATTAAATTGTGAACAGTTCTCATGTTGTATACGTGTGCACACTTACGTACTGATCTGATTTCTACATCGCAGATTTTGAAATCTCATCTCGACATTTCTATTTTTTCTTTCACGTACAGAGGCTCCCAAGCTGGAAGAGCCCCCAGCCTCCTCTCCCCTCCAGAAGCCCACATCCCGTGCCCTCCAGAGGTACAGCCATGGTTGATCACATCACCCACCACAGCCTGTCTTGGGAGGAGAGACCCAGGCCCCCAGGATTAGCCAGCAGCCACCAATTACCACACAGCAACTTTCCCTGAGCAGGGGATGTGTGAACTCCCAGGGCAGTAGGCCCTGCTGTCCCCTTATCTTGGCTTCCTTCTTGATACTGACCTCAGCTTTGGCTTCTCTGGCCACGCCTGACTAGAGCCCTTCTCTCCAACTGCCCCATTTAACTGCCACTCCCCCAGGCTGAGGGGAGAACTCTGGGGAGCCCAACATTCCCTCAGCCACTCCCCTCGGGGTTAGGCCTAGGCCTGGCAGGCCTGGCTCCTCCTGTAACACAGCCCACACTGCCTGCCTGCCTCACACTGGCATAAGAGTCTCCAGGAGACTCCAAGAGCCCTGGCCTGCCTGCCTCACACTGGCGTAAGAGAGGGCCGAGTGCTCCCTGCAACCCCTTTCTGAGGACAGGAAAGCACCAAGCATGGCTCTCGAGCTTGGCTGCCCACACGCTGACCTCTCCCTCAGCCCTGGCTTAGAGAGGCCTCCCATTTCATCCTTTGTGCCCCAGGGAAGGCAAAACATCCTGGTTCAAGAAAGAGAAGGGGAATCCAATCTTCAAAACAGGGAGGTCAAATGCCCAGCCCTCCCAGGACAAGTCCAGGGCACAAAGAGACAGGAAATCGGAAGCCAAAGACTAGAACTTTCTGGAATGATAGCAGCAGAAGTGAAAAAAGCAAATGGAAGAGGCCATAGAAAAAACAAAAGGGGGCAGTGTCATTCATTCCTTCCCCATTCATTTTGCCAAAAGAACAGGGCAATTTGGACTCAGTATTCTTTTCTCGAAGGCCAGCACTGCAGCCAGCTCCTGCCTAGGGAGTTTCCTGCTGTCTTCCCCAGCGCTGCAAACTCTAGAGCCCAGACTCGGGTCTCCTCGGCTTCCTGGGTCCCTCTGGCCTTGGCCAGAGCAGGCGACCAGGCGCCCGGCCGGTGGACGGGTGCCACAGTGGCCAGTGCGCTGATGCACTGGGTAGGAAGAGACAGCCCTCTCACTGAAGGAGCAGCAGACCCTGCTCCACATTTAAGGGTGCACGGTGGCCTGCCGGCCCCTCCGTGCCTGGCTCCCAGGGGTGCTAGGGTGGCTCTTGCTGAGGCTGGAGTCTTGCTTTCCTCAGTTTCAGTTTCCTGCAGGTGTCTGAAAATACCAAGTGGAAAATTTCAAAAATAAACAGCTCGCAACTTCTGCGCGGGCACCAGCCAAGCACTGTGAGAACCTCGTGCCCCGAAGCTCCCTCCCTTTCAGGCTGAGTCACCCTTTGTTCCGGGGCTGCGACCCATGAGTCACCGGCCACCGTCTTGGTTATCAGATGGGCTGTCACAAAAGGGCTGGCGGGTGTCCAGGAACCCTCACCTGATTACATAACGGGCCAAGGGGAAAGGGCAGGGATGCCGGCCTCCAACCACAGTATACTGTTATAACTGCCCTGTTTCGCTTGCCGCTGCTGTTATTCTTTTGCTGCACTAACCTAAATTTAACTTTATCACCAGTGTGTATGGGTAGGAAAAACACGGTTTGCACAGGGCTCAGCACCATCTACAGTTTCAGGCACCCACAGAGGGGCTGGACAGGATCCCCTCGGTGCACAGAGGGAGGACCGTGTATGCCAAACCTCCTGGGTCTCTTCGGACTCCTATCCTGGTCGATGCTCCCCCCTGCTGGTTGTTTCTGGCTTGTCTGCTTCTGGAGAACAATTTATCCACTGCCTTTCCCTGACCTATTATTTCTCTTCCTGCCCAAATCAGGAGGGACACTGAGGAGGGCCCGGACACTGTGTCCTCCAAGGCCGGGTCCCTGCCCGGGGAATGCAGACCACAGTGTCCCACTAAATTTGTCTCCTTTCCTCCCTTGGTGCATGCAAATCACTGCTGATAGCATCGTCTGACATTTGCCGAGCCCTCTGTGTACCCCAGAGTTCTCTATTACATGACCTTGATGACTAGGGTCTACACTCAGCAGCCGTTTCACGGCTTTCCAGCAGGTTCGGATTCGGGCACTACCAGGCTGCTGAAGGGGACGCAGGGCAGGTTTTCCTCACACTAACACTCAGGCGGGCAGGCAGAGTTGGCTCTCTCCCAAGCCACACTGGGTTTTGGTACCAGGAAATAAGACAGGGGATGAATGCTGGAGAGGCATGTTGGAGAGCGCTGTCCGCTCTCTGCCCTGCTAGTCTTTTAGAAAGAGCATATCTGTCTCAGGCAGTGGGCAGGTCCCCCAAGGTCAGGACAGGTCCAGCCTGGGGACACCAGGTGGGTGGAGGGGAAGGTGTGCCTAAGAGCCCATTCGAGCAGAGGACCACTAGAAGTCCTGGCTGTGTTTTCCTTAGGACTGAAAAATGATTCTGTTTTGTGTACTCTTCAACACCTCTGAGGCCATGGCTCTCTGACACAATGAGTTTGGAGCTGTTACAGATGGAATTTTGGGACACTTTCCCCAAATCCCAGCATAGGGCAAGGTAAGAGGGGAAACATACAGAGGACCAGAGCTAACAGTGTCATTTTAAAGTTTCGGGAAGGAAAGCACTGTGCCCTGTGCTGCTACAGATAATTCTGCAGGCAGTTAGATAGAAATTAATAGAAATTAGAATGTAATAAGCAGCCCCAAAGGGGTCCACTTTGAAGGAGTCAATGCAAAACGCAAGACTCACCAAGACTACAGCAGGAGACGATCTGAAGAGAGCCAGCCCTCAGCCCTCCCTCGTGATAAACAGAGACTTGGGGTTCCACTGTGACAGCGAGCCCGGTCCCGTGAGCCCAGACAGGCATCAAACTCATGGGCAGAGAGTGATTGGAACACAAGAGCCATGCCGCTCCCTTCCAGGAAGGTCTTTGCTCCTTTATTGCTCTAGGACTCACTGCCCTCCTGGGTCAGTATTATCACCTAAGCAATCTGACCCACGCTGTACTCACACTGTGATTTTGCCCCTAACAAAGGCCCCTGGTGGCCACCCACTCCTGGAAATCTAGAAGTTATTCTTCTTCCCCTTACTTCCAATAAAAGTACCCAAACTTCCTCCTTTGGATCTCAACTTCATTTCTTGATGTTGTGAGCCCACGAGCACATCTGATGTCTAACTGTTCAGAGTTACCCTCCTTGTAAGGGTAAGAGGCCAGGATGATAATAACAGCGTCGGAAAAGCTTTGGGCCACACAGACAGTCCCTAAGGGAAAGCAGATTTGGTTTCTGGATTGTTTGGGGTCATTGGTCTAGAAAGTTTGTAACAGCATGGCCCTGGTAGTTAACCTTGATGAGATTTAAGTCAAGGTCTCCATATGAGCAATTTCTTTGTTGGTTTCACCTGAAGCTGTTAAAGAAATTTCTTTCTACCTTTTCCCCTGGCCTTTATCCTTAAATTGGGGAGATCTTGATTTTTTTCTTTTATCAGGACAGTGATATTCATGCATACACACTGTACACCATTTGTTGACAAGTATATGTGCGTATACCAGGAGTCTTTGGTAGCAAGGAGAAATCAGTGCTCAGTAGGAAAGAGAATTTTGCCAGCTCTGAGGTTAGGTGAAACGTTTATTCCAAAGTGAGGCTCTGGATGACATCTTTAAATGAGAATATTATACACATGTGCACCAGTACACACACATAATGACACCTATGTATTGAGAAAAACATAGAGTCCAATGGGTGAGAGCGACAGAAGGATGGAGACAGAGAGACCTAGCCAAAAGGCACTAGGAAGCAGTTAGAAGTCAGCACGTAGAGGTGAATGCGTACCCTGCAGTTGTTAAGAGCAGGAACTCTGAAACTAGGAATCAGACCTGACTTCAAAGTTTTTAAATTTCCATTTCCCCAACTCCAGGGTGAGAACCTGTCTCGAAGCACGGTAAATGGAGGGTTCAATTAGATGTTGTAAATGGGGTGCTTAGCACAGTGCCTCTGACACAGTAAACACTCATTAAATGGTACCTACTGACTGTGAAAAATGAGTTTTAAATTTATCTCACAATAATAAAGACTTTGCCTTTCAGGTTGGTGTTAGCATCCACTCGCAGAAGCACCACTAAAGAACGGGTTTGAGGCATTTGCCTGTTGGTCCACTGAGCTGGAAAACCAGTGCTGACACCAAACAGCCTTAAACGGCAGTGCGGAATACAAATGAACTTTTAAAACAGTAAGTGGGAGAAACACAGCAGGATTAGTGGGCCAGAAATACATGCATACAACAACTAGAGAACAAGCCTTCTAATGAAGAACAAAAAGATTTCCTAAGTGGAAAATGTGGATCCTGGCTTCCTTCACCACTCGGGCTTGAGGCCCTGAGCAAATCTTTCGCTCTAAGAGCTGAGCCTGGGAATTAAAAGTCACTGCCACACAGACTCACCAGGAAAGGTGTGCAGACCAACTCTCTGGTTCCTTGAAACGACTGGACTGTGATACGACTGGATTGTGATGTGACTGTAACACGTCTATTTCCTCCTCTGCACTGACTGCTCTGGAGCTCAAAGTGAAAACCAGCCATCTCTAGCAACATCACTCACTCGTCTATTTTACGTGAAACAATGGAATTGCTCCATGAGATCGGCATTTAACTGGTGGAGTCTCTGTGGATTCTCCCAGCTTTGAAACCAGCAGGGCCTTCCCCGCATTTTTGAGAAGAAGCTGCCATCTGCTGGCCCAGTGGAGAACAGCATGTGCTACATTTGCTGAACAGAGATCCTTGAGCCTACGTTAAGGCAGCAGCCCTGTTCTTAGAGCTCTTGCTCTTGTCCACTAGAGGTCACTGCCCAGAGCAGCTCTAGGAGGGGCTGGGCCACAAGAGAAGAGTCCTTTTTTCTTTTTGGTAATTGCTCCATGCAGTTATCATTAGTTTGTTACTAATGCAGAAAGAGAGGACAAATAAAGTCTTCACAATTTCACTATTTCTGTCCCAAGGGCACTTCGGACAGAATGTAGCTGAGAAAGATCAGCCATACCCTAGGATCCTGGTAGGTGCATTCATGGGGGAGGGAGCCTCATATTGCTGGTGGAGAAGAGTCCTATCTTGGAAGGACTGTGTGCCTGTTGGTGCCCCTCAGCAGGGAGAAGACCAGCTGGTAAGCCCATGGGTGATCGCACACCAGGCAGGGGAGCCACAGTACCCAGAGCCAGGGGGGCTCCATCTACCAATGGGGTTGAGTCCCCATTAGGGTAGGTACTGGACCGGGGCTCCAGTAATCCCAGCAGTAGCAACAGCAGCCACTGCTACAGTGTCTCCTCCCTGCGAAGACACCTCAGCTCCTCAGAGGGCCTGGTACTCCCCCCACCTCGAGCCTGGGATATCGATACACTCCTCTTTCAATTCCCCTCCAAGCCCAGGACCTCCGGCAGCTGTGGCCAATGGTCCTGAGCAATTCCAGTATCTTTAGGAGGTGCCCCTCCCCCGATCATGGGCACCCTGTTCTCACACGGCAACACTATTGCCAGGACCTGGGGTACTGTGCTCTTCCCAGGGACCCTTTGCACATTCTCATTGCCCTGAACAAAGAAATGGGCAGAACACATGAAAATGATAGCAAGATTTTATATCTATTAGAGATAGAAAAAGAGCAGCCAATAGCAGTGATCTTTTGCATTCTCTCTTCTGACGTTAGCCCTAGGCTGGCCTATCACAAACCTACTTGATTTCACACCAGAATAAATGGAGATGGCTTCCTCTGATGGGTTCCAGGAACAGGGCTTGGTTGCGTCTGTCCTGGACCTCTGTGCTTAACAGGTGACACCCACTAGCTCAGCCAGCTGCCCACGCCCTAATCTCCTGCCTCAACACCAAACCCCAAACCCACTTTTCTTTACACTCTGGCTGCCACTGTCTTCTCTTGATCTTCCTGAACCTATCCCCACCACAGAGAAGCAAATTCAAGTCCTTGTCAAAACCTTCAGGGGGCGAATGATGATCACCGGTCTTGAGGATGCACTGCATTTCAGTGAGCATCTGGCAGCGTCTTGCTGCTCCTGCCCACAGTCGCTACTGCAGTTCCACCAAAATCCAGGGTCCACAGTAAAGTGCCAGGATCCTTAATATCCAGGGGAGACAACAGGTAGAGCTGAGATGCAGGTTTGCCAGAAACAGTGCGAGCTGGCCAAGGGCTTCCCAAACTGAGATCAGAGACTTGCTGTTCCCGTCCTGCTTTAATCCATCGGGCTGTGTCAGCTGAGGCTGCCTGTCCCCTGCTCTCCCAGGGACTCCACACTGCTGAGAATGCTCTGGGTACAACAGACGCTTTTGCTGCTCAGGGAGGCGGTCTGTCCTTCTAAACTGTCCTGTGCTGGTTCAGCTCACCTGAGGGGGAAGGGATCCTTGCTTGTTTCATTTTGTCAGGCACCTCTGCATCCAAAGGTATGGTCACTTGTTTACACTACAGCCCCACAGAGGCAGGTTAGGCGCGTGGGGGGGGGGGGGCTCTTCAACAGTCCTCCTAGGCCCCCACCAGAAGGGAAGGGGAAAGGACTGATGGAAAGAAATAACAGGATGAAGGGATGTTTAAGAAAAAGAAAGATGCTCACCTGGGAAATGCCCAGGAAAAGCAAGCGGGTACCACCAGAGAATCCTGGGAAGGGAAGTGAAGGTGAGGGGGGTGTTGCCCTCTTCAGGTGGAAGTGGCATCTCCTCTGCTTGGTCCAGAAGTTGCGTGAATCACATCCTGGTGCCTCCTGCAGAGACTGGTTTGCTGTTCTTGCTGTCTTGAACCTTCCTTTTGCCCAGTCTTCTTCATCTGAATGTTTACTCATTCAGGGCTCAGTGGGCACCAGCCCAGGTACCTACATCAGAGCAAGAACAATAGGAAATATTGGCTTACTGAATTACTTTTTCTCATGAAATTTTGGGATGCCGTAATGTGAAAACAAAAGTACTTTGAAACTTATCCCCCACAATGGAGTCTCCCAAAGGTAAATTGAAAATAAGTTTTCCTACTTAAGTATCTATAAACATGTTGGAAAGGCATGCAAGGGATAAACTTATTTCCAGTTGATATCTGTTATAAATTATTGCATCTGTTTACATTTCTAATCTGTAAACAAATACAGTGGACAGCTGGTATTTTCAGGCATAGATCAACATCTACATCTATGTTAATCTACTGTGATTGATATTAATGTCTACATAGTAGATGATAGAGAAGACCAGAAGAGAGAACAAGAGAGTAAGGGACACTCACCCTTGTAAAGGTGGACAGAGAAGGAGTCCGCGATGGTGAGCTCACAGAATGAACCAGGCAGCAGCGTGGGGGCTGGTGCCTGATGCCCCCAAAGAAGTTAACAGGCGGTATTGTTTGGGTTAGCCAAGGTACAATGGGGACTGAGGCAGGCAGAGTCTAAGCAATGTGCAAGGGTTTATCACCATCCAGGTGTGGCTGGGCCAAGCGTGAAAAGACCACTGACCTCAAGCAAGGGCAAAAGTAGGTTTCATAGGGAAAGGAGTTTAGGTAGGGGAGGGGGGCACTGCTGAGGGGGTGTGAAATTCTGGGTCTCTGATAGGGGGTCTGGGGCTGGCTGGCAGACAGAGCAGTGTGGGGTTCAGGGGTGCTGGCAGCACAGCACATCTCTTGTGGTTTTCGCAGGATCTGCTCTCTGCAGGTTGAGCTGTGGGGGCAGCTGCGGGCTTCCTGTTGAATGCTGTGCACCGGTAGGGGTAACAGGTCTGCTTGGGGGTTTCTCTTTTGGTCATGTGGTGGAGGGTCCAATGGGAGTCTGGTCCAAAGACGTGACAGTATTTATTCTCCCTCCCCTCTGCTTTCCATGCCATTTCCTTCAAGGATCGGAACATAATACTTTCATATAATTCTAAGTCTTGACTATTCTCCAAATTTAGGTGACTCATCAATTCACACTGAAGTAGGAAAGACTCCCAATATTTTCCCTACATGGAAAATGTGTTTTGGAGTGGGATGCTGGGCATGGGAAGCCATAGAAGATTTAACTCAAGGCCTCATGCAAGCTAAGTACTCAAGAGTGAGCTACATCTTGAGCCCCCAAAGTTTATACTGTGAAGGGAGACTGTAGCGAGGGAAGTTTAGGTTCAGGGAAGCAGCCAGCCAAGCTGTGGCCTCAGGCCTGGAAGTCCTGCAGCACTGCCTGCATAAACTGCGCAAGGCCACCTTTGACACTGACAGGCTGATCTTGTGCAACTCTGGGCTCAGCTTCTCCCTTTGTCCTCTGGCTCTGATTACCTCCTTGGAAGTGTGTGCACCGCTCTCCAGCTCCAGAGACCCACTTACAACCACAGGGCAGGTCTGTTCTGTGACAAGGAAGCCTCCTCCAAAATCAGCACATTGCCAGAGTCCTGTAATCCCTGGAGCTGGGAAGCAGGGATTCCCTGCGAGAAAACTCTCTGTAAAGACAGAGAAGAGGAGGATTCTGTTCAAGCTCAGGAGTATGTACTCGGTTCCTTGGCCACCTGAGATGGCTTAGGGAACTTCCAACAAGCAATAAAGGTCTGAAGAATCCCCACCAACCAGAAGGTCAGTGTCTCCCAAGGGCAGGTCTAGACGGTGATTTCCAAACTGAAGGGCACAAGGCCATCAGCAAAGCGCTGGTGCTGTGCATGGTGACCAAGAGCCAATCTGTCCCAAGAACCCTAACTCACAGGATCAATGTGTAGACTCTTAAAAATTGTATTTATAACCATAAAACATAAAAGGGTCTTCCAGTGCACTTCCCTGAGGGGAATGTTGTGCTATACAGTCGGAGGTGTGGTCATTGGCAGATTATTTCTCTCCTTGTCTGCAGCTCCCCCGCTATAAATTCAGAGTTACACTACATGAATCCAAGCATTAAAAAAGGTGGGTGGTAACTACAGCCCCATTGGAACCAAGTTATAATCACACATATTTACCTGGAGATTGGCTTAGAAAGATCCAAAAGGATACTAATGGGCATGCAGAATAGTCCCTACCCTCCCAAGCTCAAAGTATAGCCTCTTCATGTTTGCCCACCTCATAGGTAAAAACAGGCACGGATACGAGGACACAGGGCCAATCCAGGGCACTTGTGAGGGGGTGGCCGTGGCAGGAGTCCCACTGCAGCTACGGGGAAGGCAGAGAAGTTCCTGGCACTGTTGGCAATGAAGGACGATCTTTCTGACACCCAGACAAACCCAGTCCATTCAGCCAGTGTGTAGGATTTTTCAGGGCACGTGGCAGTTGCTAATGAATCTAAGGCATGAATGGGACCAGCAAGGGATTGTGTGCAGTTAAAGAAGTGAGCTGCCTATGAAATGTCTTTTTAAAAACCGGTTTACACTAGGGTTTTCCATCCAAATCCCTGTTGAAGCAAGACCAGTTTTGTAAACAAGCGGCCCATTTCCAAGATGACAATGGTGAGCAAATGCAGCCACAACATCCGTGGCCCAACCTCCATCCAGTCTGAGCTGTGCTCTCGGCACCAGCTGCTTCTGCCTTACAAGAATATGTCAGCAGTGTCAGATCTTGAGATTGTTCGAGGCTACTCAGAAATCCAGTTTTTAAATGCGAGCCACATATTTTTGTTTTTAACGAAAACTATCAGGGTAACCTCGTGTGACCCTGGAAGAGGGTGCAAGTCACCTGCCCGAGGCCCAGTTGGTACCATAGCCTCAGATCTCCTTGGGGACTGGGACCGCTATGATTCATCTTTCCTGCAGCTTCCACACTAGTGGGTATGGCGGTCACCAAGATGGCTAATACCTGTCTCCTCAGGTGGCCTCTGATCCCCAGGCATGAACCAGAGGAAGAGCACAGAGTTGATGGCCACTGCTGTGGCTGGGACAGACCTTTGCCCTGAAATGTCAGGCACTCAGAGATGGGGCTTCCAGATGGTGGCACATGAGGACACACGCAGACTGCGCTGGGTGTGTTGTTCCAGAGTGGAGCTGGTTGGAGTGGTCACTGGGGAGGTGGCCGGCAAAGGGGTCCCCTGAGACGACTCCTTCTCTCTCTGTTCCTGGCCCCCATGACATGAGCAGCTGTCCTCCATCCAGGCCCTTCCACCATGCTGTTGCTGCTTTGGAGCCAGCTGACTGCAAGAGCCGAGACTCATGAAACTAAGCCCGAGCCCACCTCACCTTCTTCAGTCGTACGCGCTGAGCCTCAGGTCTCAGCACCCAGGGGAACAGCTCAGGTGGCCACGCAGCCAGTCTCCAACCACTCCCCTCGAAACGCTCCACTGTAGATGTGGGATTGCAAGGCCTTTGACTGTGCAAAAGGCGTGAAGAATACGGACAGGCGCAGGGCACACGGGGTGGCCACAGTGGTGCAGACCTGCATAAGAGGGGAACAAGGTAGAGGGATTCACAGTCCACCTCGCAGTTTCCAACAAACAGTGCTTCTCATGCCCAAGGCGAGGCTGGGATCATTGTGGGAAGGAGCACTCATTTTGGAGCCTGACGGTTGGAAAGCCCACCCTTCTTGCAGCTTAGCCACCGGGTAATTCTGCAACTTCTAGCAGGATGGTTTGTGTCCCCAGTGACAGTGACAGAAATCACAAAGTTGGTACAGGAATAAGGTTTGCAAAATGCTGAGAAAACCTGCACAATAGAGTGCTACTTACTACCCATGGAGCGCAGGTCCACTGCTGCCCTCACACCCTATTTCTTCTGATTTGCCTTACATATTTGCTTCCTGTCACCTCCCCAATCTCCTGACCCTTCATGCATAATCCTTCTCTCGCTATGACCACAGCAAACCATGATGGGCTATGAGGATCCCAGCATGTACTTCCCAGAGAGACCTTAAGGTCTAAACCCAGCTAAACACAGAGACAAATTCCAAATGGAGCATGAATGCCTGGGCATGAGTGCAGAATGACCTTGAGGTCCCCTGAAAGCCTCTCTTCTACCTCCTGGCACAGGCACATACCTGAGCCAAGCAGAGGTGACATTGTCTGGAACACATACCGTGGCTACAGAGTCCCCAAGGCTGTCCGTTGCTTCAGTTACAGCCCCTGCCTGCCCTGCAGCTGGTTCACGGCCTCACTGAGAGCAACACCCCAGCTTACTCCCTTCAGAGGATCAGTTCCTGACCCTGAAAGACAGTGCTGCTGTGCTAGGGCTTTCTGGGCTCAGGCCACAGGGCAAGACAGAAGCAGCGGCATTTGTTCTGTGAACAATTTCTGCATTCCAGTGAAACCCATTAATTGGCACAATTAATATGTGTTGATAATTATGATGTTTCAAGTCATCATGCCACAGTAATACATGCATTCCCACATGTACAGCAGCACAATTTATAATGCCGAAGTCCTGGAAACAGGCCATGTGCCTATCAACAAGACACAAATAAATAAAATGTGATATTTATGTACAGCAGAGTACTATTTTCCTGTAAAGGATAAACTTGAGGCATTGTTTGTAAGTGGATGCACTTCAAGATCATAATGTTAAGTGAAATAAATCAGATACACAACTTCCAGGAGAACATGGCAGACAGATAGCAGCAGCTACGGAGGCTCTCTGAGAGACCCAGCTTAGAATCCAGGAATGGTGCCAAGTGAGGAATCCTAAGAAAGAAGAGATACCCTGCTGACACAAGAACGAACTGGGCTGAGAGAAACCAACTGGGAATGCAATCCTGGTGCTATAACAGGAACAGATAAAGCCTCAGCGTGAAAGCTGGAGCCCGCGCTGTTGGAAGCCGCGATTTGGGTTTCCTGCCGCCGCGGCTGTGTCTGAATCGGCTTGGCAGGGAGAGAGACTCTAGAAAGCTCTGAGAACGGGAATCGGTGAACAGAGTTGAGAGTGGGATGGACGGGGAGCCGTGCATCGACCTGCGGTGAGTGAGGGAAACTGGGACTCTTCCATGATCTAGGAGGCTCCAACAGAGGACATTCTGGGACTGGGCAGACTTGCCAAAACAGGGCGCGGTAGTGACTTCAGTCACATATCCCCCTCTTAAGCGGGATTGGTGAGCAGAACATGACGCTGCTGGCTGAGACCCAGTAGGCTAGCACAACCCAGGTTCCAGCGCCTGGAGGTGCACCCTAGCAGTGAAGCCTTCAGTAGGTTGACTTGGAGGGGTGGGCCCCGCATAGGCTGCCCAGTCCGTAACTCCCTGGTGTGCTGCGGTGGGCGGGAACACTTAGCTGACGCAATTCAAACAGACTGTGGCCGACAGGGAAGGAAGCTTGTATATAAGGAACAAAGAATATGGGAAGAGAGAGCAACAAGAAAGGCTCTTCGGCCCCCAATCCTGAGAAACAGGCAAAGGCAGACACGGCACCAACAGACATAAAGTGCTATCTCCAGAGCCTCATAGACGAGTTCAGGAATGAAGTTATTAATGACCCGAAGCAAGGCATAAGCAGAATAGTTAGAGAAATGCTAAGCACCACCCAAGAAAAAACAGATGGTGGAATGGAAGAACAGAAAAACAGGGGAGAATTGTTTGATGGAGAAAATAGAGAAAACATAGAATACGTGAAGTAGGTTCAAAGAGATTACCAAGAAACTAAAAACTCTCAAAAACTGGCATAACAGCTTGAAAGAAACTAAGGATAGATTATCCGAACTGGAGGGCAGATTTGTAATATGGGAGCATAAAATGAAAAACTTCTTAAAAATAACAAACAAAAAGCAATAATACAAAGACTAGAAGATGATAAGAGGATCCATAACTTAAGAATTAAGAACATAAAAGAAGACACAAACAAATGAACTACAAAAGCTACTTACAGAAATAATCCAGGAGAATTTTCCTAATTTAGCAAAAGGTAAAGATACTCAGATGTATGAAGCATACAGGACCCCAGCCACCTACAACCCAAACAGAGCTACACCCAGGCATATAATAATCAAAATACCAGAAATCCAATATAAGAACAGAATATTAAAAGCTGTCAGAGACAAGAAACAGATGACTTACAAGGGAACACCCATCAGAATTACAGCAGACTTCTCGGCACAAACAATCAAATCACGAAGAGCGTGGGGGGAAATAATTCAAGCTTTGAAAGACAATAACCTCCAGCCAAGATTGATATATCCTGCACAACTATCCCTGGAAATTGATGGAAAAACAAGGTGCTTTCAGGATAAAGAGGAACTAGGGGAATATGCAACCACCAATTCAACTCTACAGAGAATACTGCAGGATATTCTAAAAAAAGAAAAATACGAAGATTCCAGAAATAGTGGCAGAGAGGCCACAATGAATGGAGCAGAAAACAAAATGAAGAAGACAAACTGACAACT